CGCCCCTAATTTAGCAGTGTAAGACTAGAGGGATGGCAGCTAGTCATCACCATCCACTGCCAACTCTTGGGCTACTCTTTTACCAACGAATAGTGGGATTGACCGTCACATTATAACGCCCCCCAAGGCTGAAAGGGCGAGCATGTTTGGTGTGACAGGGATTCGAGCCCGCGACCCTCAGATTGCGAATCGAGTGCGTTAACCACCTGGCCATGCCGAGCCTGATGCATAAGTAATTTTAACCGTTATTATGAAAATGAATTTTCATGATAGATAGGCAACATGCAAAAAGAAGAAAAAAAAAAAGGCATGAAAAAACATTCCTTTACAGACCCTAAGACTTAATAAAAATTTCATATTTTGTGTATGAAAGCATCGTAATGTTTACTGATAATCTGCCAAATTTCATTAATATTCGCTTACCAATTTAAAAGTTATAGTATGAAAACTATAACAAGCACAAAATGGTTACAAGGTCAGTCCCAGTGACCGAGCCCATGCTAAAAGATATAATTTGTACGCTGTGCATACATGAGGAAATTTTCATACTTATCATAGGAAATTTACCAGAAATGTTTATTTGCAGTGATACTAAAAAAGGAACTATTACATATTTTGGAATTTTTTTTTCAGCTCTGGGCACTCAAATTACACATGAAACAAGTTACAATTTGTACAAAAAAAAAGAGCCCACTACTTCCAGACCTAGCTACGGGGTTGCTTTCTTCTGTGATATTTTACACTGCCTTCAATTCTACACTCTGATCTTTACAATGAAGATTATCCTTTACTTTTAATTTTTAATATCTCAGGTTCTAACTCACCTGTCTACCCATAGAACAGACACTATATGTATTCCCTTTGCTAGTGCTTTCAGACGCGTAGCTACTCTTCCTTCTTTAAACACCAGGTGGGTAACATCACGACTAAGTCGAGGGACAACTTTGGCCCCCATTAACTGAAGCTGTTGTTCTATAGCCTTGGATCGATCTTCTCTTCCTGATCGAACTTCCACACAAGCAACTACACCTACACATTCCAATACATTAAAACAAATTATTGAAAATTTCATATCAACAATAAATAAAATGGACTGTAACCATCAATATAAATATATACTGTATATTTAAAATGTACAATTACACATTACAACCACTTTTATTTTGAACATCTTACATACATCATACTTTTAGATTATTCAAGGATGAAAAATGTAAAAAATGTGGTTTATGGTCACCTGTTTTAATAACTACAAAAAAATATATATTAATCTTTTATCAGATGCTAAATAACTGAAGACTACTTAATTTATTTGTTCTGTTTGATAGTAGCCCATGCAGTCCACAGATATTAGCAGGGAATTATGATAGCAAATGTGACAATCAAAATATTTTTAAAATGCTCAATCAGATCAAGCTGCAATGATAGTGTTACCTCACAAAGATGACTTAAAGTAGTGCAATAATCTTTAATATGAGCATTCAGGTGAATTTCTGCATTATCATTTTTGAAAAGATACTTAATACAATGCTTGAAAAGAAACATGATAGAATGGACTTGATTAGCAACAATTTTCAGAAACTCAGGTTGTAATGTAAACTTTTAGAGAAACTAGAGGTTCTAGCTTATGTCACACAAAAAACTGTTCCCCTCACCATTACGTTACCTCTAGAAACTTACACTAACAGAACAACCAATGCAGAGAAAGTGGTTCATTTGGTTTTCAATATATTTTTATTCTAACACCAGTAAAGAAAATGGTGAAATGTAACTCATAAACTTACAATATGTGCTCCTTGTCAGTAAATGTTCACAGCTATACTTTTCTGTTTGTATTCAAGATATAAGCAACTTCTGTAATGATACTCAGTTGTCATATGACAACTTTTGTACTGTTTCTCATAAGGTACAGGTGAGGTCAATTGGATACAGTCTGTCTATTGTATTGTTTACATTTTCTTTTCCATTTGTTTGCTACCAGTAAATTGGTCATAATTTTGTCTACTGGCAGAGTTATTTTCAACTGTCACAGGATGAATTATTAGAAAAGAAATGATTTTTTAAATGTTACTTTTAAAATGGGAGCACTACATGTACTTTTATTATAATTATAAATAAATAATTTTTTGAGCAAGATGTATGTTGTTAAAATAGGACTAGCAATTAAAAATGTGCATATATAAAAAAATGAAATTTAATTAAACCATGAAGTAATGCTTGACTTGTACAACAAAAATAATACACATTAGGATATTCCATATTATTCACTGTCCCAAGGCTATGAGATGTCTTAATCCCCCACTGCTGCCAGACCAAATGTTACCATTTTTTCTATGTGTGATGAACTTTTTTAATAATATAAAAAACATTTTCTATCTATTGGTAACTTATGGTTGAAATCATTATAACTACTATCTTACTGTCAAAACAAGTAAACAATACTGCTTCCTTAATACAGTTTACTGTTATATACACAATAACTTATTATTTAATTAAAAGAATATCTGAGTAGCACTAACAAACTGATAATGGAGTTGGGTCAGGTTATCTAAACTTATTGAAGTAAGAAGATGCTAATTTTTCTAGTATTATTCTGTGTATTTTTCCTTTGGCTCAGGTTATGATTAAAAAGTGTATAGTAATCATCTCCTGTATTTCATGTGTCTGTTATGTACTTTAATAAACTGGTAACTAATGGCTACAATAGAGAATTGGAAAGCTTTAAAAACTGTCACATTTACAACTATTGTAAAGTGGGTTATTCCACTTCAAATAAACCAATATTTTAACATTTTCTAGTTTCAAAACCTCAGAGTTAACAGCATGCAATGCTACTAGACATTTAAAATAACCGATTAATTGAAATCATGAGAAGTTGATTAATGTTATGAAAATAATCAACTAATCGATACTAGTGTTTTCAATTCTTCCAACTGTTCAAGTAATTGACATTATAATTTCTAGATATTTTCAAGAAATTCAAGACTGTTAAGTTAATCTATTAGTGTCAGTACTTATGAAAATAATTAACCAATCATTATTAGTGTTTCCAATTATTATTATTTTTTAATCATTCCAAATATAAAAGTCTCATATCAGAATAATTGATTAGTTGAATATAATCAAGTAATGAGCCGGACAATTAATGAATTACTAAATTTCACTAAATATCTAGCTGAAAATATTTCCAAGAAAATTACTGAACAGTAACAATAAAGATATTAATTTTCCTGGTCATATTAGTAAATGAATTTTCCAATTAATTACTGGTCAATGTTTATAATAATCAACAACCTTTTGTTTGAAAGGTATCAATCTACCTGAAGTATTAACACTTTTGTAATTGGCCCTTACCTTGTGCGAGTCTTTCATTCATATTTTATTGATATATTTTTTAACATTAGTAAAAAACCAAACTTTTAACATTCAACTTTTTTTGTTGGCCATTTGTAATACCTACATTAAATAAACATGCTACTTTATTGTTGTAAAACAAGTCCTAAAGTCCTGACTAATAAGTTAGAAGCATACATTTTACTTAATACAACTGTTTTTATTTTAAATAATTAATTCAAGATGAACTTGAATTTTATTGTCACTAAATACATGTGAATGATTTGTTTATAACTATTATCGAGTTCACTATTAAATATATTGTGTATTCATATTTCTAATAAGGTTACCTTTAATGATGACTAAGCTGACTTTTCATTGAAGCTAGTTTTGAGAAATGAATTTGGGTTAGTTATCCACAAGGGCTAAATCTTTATAAGGGTGTCAGTTGGCTTTTGGAAATCAGTAATTATCTTGTTGAGATGTCTATATTACTGTCTGTTCTTATTAAACATGTAAATGTTTTGTCTTTTTGTTAACATTTGGCAAGAACCTGATTGGTAAACAAATCTCCTTCACCTGAGGCCAATCCCTTCATCAATAAAACAGTCTCCCTCAGAGACAATTTAAATTTTTTTTTCTAAAGGGTTCTTTGACATGACTGCAAGTTTTTATCATCATTGAAATAAACTGAGCAATGAGAAGTACCTATGAAGAATTTATGTCATTGTCCCTGTGTATTCACAGTTGTGCTTACTGCACTTTCTATTCACAGAGTACTAAGAGTACCACATTATATACTTAAATGAGATTGTCAACAAAAATACTAATTATGAGAACTTACAAGTACACACAAAGGAGAATAAGTAATATTTTGTCAACCACATTACACCCATCATATCCAGTGCTAATGAAGCTTTCTGTCCACTACCATGGATCATCAGGACAGCTGGGATATGACAGACATAGAAATGGTCAAGGTGCTATTAATACCATCAACTTCATCAAGAACAAAGATAAAACACAGACCTGAACAAACACACAAGCTGAAAATATGTACACATGCTCCTTAGCATCTGAGAATATGCCTTTTTCATTTACTTGAGAAATGAAAAATTATTATTCTGAATTATTACTTCTAATTTAGCAGTGAAAGACTAGAGGAAAGGCAGCTAGTTATCCCCACCCACCTTCTACTCTTGGGCTACTCTTTTACCAACGAATAGTGGGATTGACCATCACATTATAATGCCCCCATGGCTCAAAGGGTGAGCATGTTTAGTGGGATGGGGATTCAAACTCATGACCCTCAGATTGCAAGTTGAGTGCCCTAACCACCGACCAGGCCAGGCCTAAGACTCGGAACTCAATTGTGCTATTGATACAGAGGGAAGTACAAAGAAGACTGGAGTGAAACTTGTATAGCAATTGCAATGAGTAGTAAAAGTAAGCACAACATAAAAGGAGGTTCTAACACTGAGCTTTGTTCACACAAGAAAAAAAAAAATCTTTAACTCTCACAATTAAAGTATTAACTTTTATAAATAATTTCCAATAGTATATCTATTTTTATACCACAGCCACTATTTCTCAATGATTGCGAGTCTTACAAATAATGACACAAAAAATGTAGAACAAAAAATCATTTATTTCATTCGGGTTACCCCCACCCCATCTACATGCAAAAACCTTTATAAAAAAAAAAATTCTTACTTTCTCAACAACGATGATACACTTCTCATCTGAATAATAACTGTTTTTATATTTTGTACCTCAGTCACATGACTAAACTTTTCAGTTTTAAAACTGATTCCTGAAATATGAGACCAATCATTAAGCTTACTATGTTATTTTTTCAAGAAACACTGTACATGCCAGTGTTGTACATCATATGGCCCACTAACTGCTTTGATCTTACTCTAAAGCATTTTAATATTACAATTTAAAAAAAACAGTCCATCTTAAAATAAATAAATAAATGTTCTATTATTTGTTAATTAACTATATATATATATATATTACTAACTCACAAATATTTGAAATAAAAATTTCCAAAATATAAGTATCAAATTTTGCTTCACAGGTTTCTTCCCTTGGCCTCTTAGCTTTTTCCAGATCTGACTTCCTCCAAAATAAAATTGTACACCACTCATCTACATTAACAGATTAATAGATATGCTGATAATTCATTCTAATTAGAATATGATGCTTACAGAGTGCTTCCCAATGTCAATTTTGATCTGCCCTTTTCAAATTCATTATTTTAAACTGATGTTATTTTGAATTGGCATGTATTAAATAATGAACACACATTTTTTTTTATTTATCTCGCAACTGATTTAAATTCAATACCAGAAGTCCCAAAAAATGTTTTGAAGTCCTTTAAAGTTTAAGTGCTCATTAAGGGTACAAATATTGAAATTTAAACATCTAGTCTGTAAAATTAATTAATGGTATTTTACACCTTACTTTCTTTCACTCAAAAGAGATTGTTCTATACTAACCTTTTAAAATTTCATTTAGGTGTTTGTGATTTTTTTGTTCCATACTTCTTTCTCCTAGTTTCAGATTTTCTTGATCCTCACCCTCTAATACTGAAATTATGTCAGTTACTTGCTGATTAATGTTTTGATTCTGACTACACGTAGACTGTTCTTGGTCAACTGTCAAAGGACTGAAGGTTACACATGAACTTGCACTTATTTTTGTGGGCTGTTCGTTAACAACTGGTGTGCTATTTATGCTAATAGACCTATTAGGAGGAGTCAATGCAATTGATTGGAAATTTTGGTCTGTTTTGTTCCTTGAGGATTTAATAAGTGCTGAGTTATTCACACTTTCTCCAGTTTCCAAAGATGAACTTTCCGATTTCAAATCTTGGTCTGATGACCTTACTTCAGAAGTTCTAGCATCACTTTCCTCACTTCTTATTGGAACTTTAAAGTCCTTATCATTCGGCTGTAACTGTTTTTCATCACAGGTCTCAACAGGTATTTTTCTTGCTCTAGTTGCTGGAATTCTGTTTTTACTAGTTTGAACTTTACCAAGAGATTTCCGTGAAAATTTAGAGCTACAAATATCCAACTGGTCCTCATTTACCTGATCAACTAAGTCACATCTAGTATTTAGTGTTTTCCTTCGAGTCCTTTTAGAATAATTAGATTCTGGAGTAAGAAGTTGGGATTCCTCATTATCTTTATAGAGACTTTTAGAACCTTTAACAGATTCATTATTGATGGAGGTAAGATTGGTGGTAGCTAAATGAGGACTTACAGGGATCTCATTTGCTAAATTACAAGGAAGAGAACCCTGCTTACGAGTATTCCTTTTGACAACTTTTAGTACAGACATTCTTCAAAAATCACATTTTATCCTCAATTGGACAAGAAAACAAAGGACTATTTTCCAGGTTTTGCACTTTAAAACAATCTTTATGAAATCATCAGTTCTTTGACACCAATACTGAAATAAAATGAAAACATTTTATAGTAGTCATTAAATGTAATTGATTATATACAGGAAAAATGATAAAAACAATTCTTGAAAATTTATACAACTACAAATCACACGCTACTTTAATTTACTATTCACTTCCAGATAACTCTGCATACCACGCTATCCACCCATGGACCTTACACAATTGAGTTCAGCATGAACTGACTGAAATTCAAACCAGAAGAGTTAATGTTGAAAAGAAAATTCACTAAGAAGTATTATTTTAACAAACTGAAGCAGCAATTTATTCAGAGCGGCATCACAATATGCTACTAACACTTGGCTCTGTTACACCTAATGTACATGCATCCTGCAGACAAGCCTATGGGGTCAATAATAGCATCTAACAATGTGCAACTTGTAACATGCACATTATGCTACTTCAATTTTCCTATCATATGTAAGGCAGAAAAACATCAAAAGGTCAAGATGACAAAAGATCACTTTATCCATGACGTCAGAGGAGGAGGCATGAGGCCATTGGGTCTATTATAGGCACCTCTAACCCACAAATATATATATGACAAATTGACAAGGGAGCATTTGGTCCTTCAAAACTGTCCTTTCACACCCACTCTTTGAGGTGCTGGCCTCCACAATTGTTGATGACAACTCATTCCATAACCCTGTTAGAAAAATATAACCACACTAACTAGTCTAATTTGTCTTTTACACAAATTTTAAAATTGCATCCACTCGACCTATTATTTTTAGAATACAGCATAAAGAAGCAGGAGGTCTTGATACTATCATTCCTTAAAATATTCTTAAAACTTGAATATGATCTGTTATTCTTCTTTACTAAGAGAAGACAAGAGAGCTTAACTTATCCCTATAAGATAACCCTTCTATCTCTGGGATAATCCTTGTAGTCCTCTGCTAAGCCTTTTTGAGTAAGTCAGTGTCATTTCTTAGGTAACAAGACCAAAACTATATTCAGAAATCTGAGAAGACTAACAAGTGATATGTACAGAAATAAAATTATCTCCTCTGACTTGAAATCAGTAACTTATAAATAAACCCTAGCATTCTATTTGCTTTATTATTAACAACATAAAAATTATTTGATGGCTTGAGTGACTTATCCACCACTATACCAGGATCTTTTTAAAAAACTTCCCTCATATTAGTGAGTGGGTTCCATCTAAGTTATGATAATCCAAATGTATTACCTTTAAATTAATGTAACTAAAGGTCCAACCTCAGTGTTTGTTCAACTTACCAATTAACCCAAGTCAGTCAAAAGTACCTCAACATTTTAATTACACTTACAGCTAGAAATATCCAATATTACTAACATAGTCTCATCTCTTTATATCTATATACCTATCCAATTACAAGTTAAAACAATTCAAACTTACTGTACAAATCAATTCATTAGTGTAAAAATCACAACTAGTGAACTAGTGTCTTTTATATTTATAATTGCAATCTACAGTATTTTGACAGTGTGAAGGCCAAATCATAAAAATCAAATGAAAATTTGAGAGATTTTCCCAAATGATATAATGCTGATAACATACAAGTAACAGCTGATGAAATGAGCATTAAATGTCATAGTTAGCAAGGAATTAGAAACCAACAGGCCTAAAATTTGTAATCAAAATCATTCAAGCTGGATTTTTTTCCCCATGCCTCTTAATTTCTCCATTTCAGACTCAAAACCATGAACATATAAAAACAGTAGTTCAGATCTATCTTATATCTCTAATCATCCAGCCCAACTGATGAGTTCCAATATTGACTGAAAATACTCTTGGGTAATGTCTTATGGCAGACAAAAGTCAGATCTAAAATGCTATTTTTACATGCCTCTGATTTTGAATCTGAAATTGACAAATTAAATGGTATGTGAAAGAAAAAATATATTTTGCATGATTTTTTATCACAAATTTCAGGCCTATTGGTTTATAACAAGTATTGGTATTTTACAGTGTAATTTTAAAAGAAATTTTGATAATAAAACCTATAAATTAGTATAATAACTTGAAGTATTTAATAAAAGCTTCCAGCACAGGTTTCATGTTGTTACATTGAGACATAATAACAAATTGTCTCTCCTTACAAACCAAAGTGCGGAGTAAGCTTATTCCTTGAAGTCTTACCATGTATAAAAAAAAAATTAAAATTATAAACCATTTTGTGTTTTGTATGACACTTTTACCTTAGTGAATAATGTAACTTGTCACTACACCAGTGCTACATTATGCTAATCTAAGGGTAAGTAGTGTATTAATTTCCTTTTAATTACAATGATAACATATGTTTACAACATCCTAAGTATATAAAAAATAATGCATTAACACTAACAGTTATTACACTTTACAGGGAGTGTGGTGGAGATTTTTATTGTTAACATCACAGTTAACTGTTAATGGAGTATCAACACCCTTAACAATAATAAGTTTTAAAAATCTCAAATACATTCCCTGTTTAAGTTCTAACTCTACCTTTCTCCAAAAGAAAAGTATGACAAACTTGCAATCCCAGGTATCATCCCTGAAAATAAGCAGTTCTTAATACTAATATATGAATTAATGTAGGCCTAAATAAAAAATGCAAGTTGGGCTAGGAAAGTTGACCTATGGATTTGAACTTGAAGTTAGAACACTGCAAGTTCTAACGTGTTGCTACAGTTACTGAATACGAAACGAATGTTAATGTCAATTGTTATAAAATTAAAAGTACTAAAACTAAAAGCATTGGATGATATAATACTCTTCCATTAATAATTTGCATTAAAATGACTTTGAAATAGTTTATTAAACTTAAAGCAATGAGCAAGATAAACGTTACCTAGGTTATATTATTATGCATAATCTCACTCCGTTTAAGCCTAAAATAAAACAATCCTTCGTGAAGTCCTATGCCATAATGGAATAAAATCAGTACGTTCATTTTGAAAACGTGTGGCGTTAAAAATGTTTATTGGGGTTTAATTTAAATCAACTATATTTAAAAGTTAAGAATAAAATGTGTATTATTTTGTCAAAATCCTTAAACCTATACTCACATACACTGCTAGTGCTACAGAACGACTAATTCTTGTGAAATTTAAATATGTTAAATAAATAAGAATTTTGTAAAATTATAACTGTTAATATTATGAAATATCAATTGGAAAATATACATAGAATAATAAAAATGTAGCAAATTTTTATGCGTGACAAGACCACTCAGAAACGAAACCGATAAATAATTGTTTGTTTGTTTGAATTTCGCGCAAAGCTACACGAAGGCTATTTGTGCTAGCCGTCTCTAATTTAGCAGTGTAAGACAGCTAGTCATCACCACCCACCGCCAACTATTGGGCTGCTCTTTTACCAACGAATAGTGGGATTGACCGTCAGATTATAACACCCCCATGCCTGAAAGGGCGAGCATGTTTGGTGTGACGGTGATTCGAACTCGCGAACCGCAGATTACGAGTCGAGCGCTCTATCTACCTGGCCATGCCAGGCCCGATAAATAAGTCTAGAAATGAACGATTGGAGTATAAAAACCAAATTTGTATTAACAGTCGATTACAACAAGAATTTTAACAACATTTAGGATCAAAGTATGTTAATAAATTTTCTGAAGGAGACTGTTTTTCGAAGTAAAGTTAACAACAATTAATTAAAATAATTTGAAATGAAAATCAAACCCAGTGGTTGTCGTTGTTGAATAAACAGTAAATGTGTTTTGGAACTTTACCTTAGGTTTGTTGAGGGTCAATATTTCCATAACCTAACTTGTATTTGATAATTCAAGCTAATACTTGCACATCTCAGTGGTACAGCCACTGATAAGCCTGGACGGGCAACGACCCACCCGCTTAGCACCCAAGCCCACCCATTCAGAGTTTGTTTGATGGTTCGAACATCATAGGTAGTGTTTTTCTCCCCCTCTTTTATTTCTAGCTATCTGTAGCTTACTTTGAGGGTTTTTACACATCCTACCCATTCTTCTTCGTAGCTCTAGGCACACACAGTATTTCCTAGCTAGCTAATTACTGGTGTATAATTATCTTATCTCCATAAAAACGCATACACAAAAGTTTGCTAAGTATTCTGAGCATATGTGGTTGTCGCATAACACATAATCAAGAAGGTTTTTAAGTTGATTCATTTCCAGCTGCCTTTGTTCTTTTGTCATTCTCTAGAAATAATACTTGTTCTGCCCATGGAGGATATTGGCTGTAATGGTGTATGTTCTGCAAGAATATAGACAGCAGTATCTTTCAATGGTAGACCAGATGGTATCTCAAGGTTACAGCTTCCCCCATGTCTAAATTAGCCATAAAAGTAACATTAGTTTCTATGTGTAAATCCGAAGTTTTCCATTTAATAATAAAAATTAGATTTAAACATTCATGTATTAAACCTTGAGTTAGCTGGTTATAATGAAAAAATCTCGAGCAAAGAACGCTAGTTCAAGTACTTCATGAAACAAGTGAAAGGTAACCATCCAGCATCCGTAAGCAAGTACTCAAATTGTGTTTCTGTGTTTTCGATATATATTAAAAATTGATTTAATTCTGTGTTACACATGTTGTACAGTCCACTTATTTCTTGCTGAAACTTAGTTAGTTTTAGCTAAATTCAGTATTACTTCATGATATATCCTCCCATTATATATATCAGATATAAAGTTACTCCTTTAGGAATCAATTTCATCTTATAATATCACAGATTAAAGTTAAACTTAATATACTACAGAGTGGATAGGAAGGAGAAAAAATTGTGCAATGACCACCGGATGTTTCGCTGCAGAGTTTTATGTTTTCTGCTGATGTGTATAATACTGTTTACTTGAACTCTTGCGAATTAAGTTTCAAAAGGTTTTGTTGTTATGGAAATGGTATTTTCCACCACTCAAAGTACTTGTAACCAAGATGGAGAATTAGCCACTGAGAGAAGACAGTTCTATGAGAAAGTGCTTTAGAGTAGGATAAGTCCTCTCCTGGTCACTGAACTTTTATCAAAGTTGTGAAGTTAAGGACTTCCATCTCATTACAGACGACAAGTCAAGTAGAAGAGCCACTAATGTCTCATACGCTCAGAATGGCTGCTCATGCTCTTCTCCTAAGAATCGACTTTGGTGCAAAAGAAATGTGGACAATTGAGAGTCATAATGGTGGTGTGGCGCCTGGAGAGTCTAGGACCAAATGAGGTAGTTTGTATAGAACTCCCAGATCCTTGCCACCACGAACAACCGAAGAATACAGAGGAAAGATTAGAGGTGTCATTGATAGACTGAAACAGTGACCACCTAATGGTGGAGTACATATACTGCTGAGGTAACTGCCATGGATCACAGAGGAGCCTGTGGTCAAGCAAACGGATGGATGAACTGCTAACAGCAACTCATTGCTTTGCTACTCTGTACCATGGATTGCCTACTCACACGAGATTCAATGTCCCTAAGAGTGCTTACCACACTGTGTTCAAGATTTCAAAGACAATTCTGTCAAATAATGGCCAAGAAGTCGTAAGTAAGAGGTTCAGACCACGTGACTGTGACAAGACTGATTATCTCTCCCACAGTATTCAATGGTGCATCAAAGGAAGATTTGGACCATTTCTTTAATGATTCATGCAGGTAACTAACTGTAATATCTGGTCTTTTGAGAAGGCTACACAATGCCTGATATAAAATAAACACAACACCTGGGCACACCTTCTCTACTGGAGATGACTAGGTGTTTTTTGAAATTTTTGTGAGCCCTTCCTTTAGCATCCATTGTATATCAACACTAACTACACCTGTAGTGCGCCAGAGAAGCTTGTACAGCAGTTTTTAATCGGACGTTCAGCGTCTTATTCAACTAACAAGTCACTGAGTTGTCATTGTATTGGGTCTAGATTATTCACATAATACCCAACCAACTGTTATTTAGAGACTCGTATTTTGTAATTTTAACACTATTGAAATATAATTGTGATTTCCTTCTGTGAACTTGCTAAAGTATATATTTTGCATTTATGTTAAATCAAGGGATTGTCTTTGTTGTTGTAACATTATTTTGCATTGTGAAAGTTTTCACTACGGTATTGTTTATAAAGATTTTTATTTTGCATTTTTTATTTGTTGTAAAACATGGGTGCAACTTTACTATTATTATTAAAGGTTTTGTGTGTCATATTTGTAAATGGTATTAAAGAATTTCACAGTATTGATTATCATTGTTAAATGGTTTTTCTTTGATGGTTTTTAGTTTAACATATTTTGTAGCTGAGAAGGGTCTTATTTTATCTTGGTAAAGAATGTTTGTATGTATTTTTTGTTTTGTCAAATGAAAATAGTTTGCTGTAAATTTGATTTGGTATTGTTGCAGAATAACTTATGTTGAGATGTTTATATTTTATGTATCGGTGTAAGCTATATTTTTAATATTTTAAGTTAAATGTTTGCTAGAGAGCTTGTGATCACAACGACGTTAAGATTTAGAAAGTCCATTGAAGTTAAGAATCGAGAAGGTTACCATATAAATACGAATATGTTATTGATGAGCAAATTTGATGACAAGGAGCTCACTTTGAGACTAAGGTTTGAGATAGCTTAAATGGTTAACATAGAAAACTTGATGTGAAATTGAACGTAGAGACAAATATACAATGTTTCGACAAGGTTTTGTCATCATCAGGTAAAAAGAGTTTATCAAGACATAGGAATATGTATACAGTACGCAACTAAGATTGTTAAACGGCTTACTAAAGATATTTTAGCATCGCGGATTGTTGGTTTACAGTGGAGCTATTTTCTTCAATTAAGACGGCTTCTTTGATTTTATGCTTGTTTTTGGCTCTTTGTTTGAAACAGTTTGTGTAATAGACATACTATCATTTTTGTGTGTGTTTCAATAGTAGTAAACATGGTAATGCATGTTATTATGTTCAGTGAATTTAGTTTCAGCTTTTCTTCAAGTTTCACAGGTATAGAATTCTGAGCAGTTATTGCACATTATTTTATAAATGATGTTGGTATTGTGTACTTTTAACAATTTTTATTGAGTAAGTATCTTAGTTTAGGGCCAGGTTTTTGAGAGCCTTTGAAGTTAACAGGAAGTATAAATTTATTGGCAAGTTTTTCCAAGTATGAATTATTTTTGAACTGATTTCTGAATACATGGTAAATTGCAGTGTAATGGTGTGTTGTTGGTTAGTTCATTACTATCAATTTTTGTTCGTGAAGTAAGTGTTTAAGTTTTTGTTGTAGTGGTTGTGTGAGACTTTTTTTCGACAGTAACTGGATAACTTGTGGATATTGGTGTCAATGAAGGAATGCCTTAAAAGGTTGGTTTCTTCATCAGTGTTGTTTGTTGAATATAGTCGTGAAGCTGTGTTTATGAATCTGTTAACCTATTGATCTTTTTCTTTGATTTCATGAACGGAATTTTAGGGGATGTAGGGGATGTGAATTTTGGTTTCGAATAGTGTTTCAGCTCTTATAATGTTGACTTTCAGAAAGGATGATTGGTTGATATTTCTATATTCGATGGTGAATTTAATGTTGGGGTGAATGGAATTTATGCATTGAAAGTAAGTTTGTGTGTTCGTAGGAGTTAATTCTGCAAAAGTGTCTATACGAGAAAAGGAGGACATGAAGAGCAAAATTTATGCTTTGTGTTTATATCTGTGTTATAAATATGTTGGCGAGAATAGGTGAAACAGAATTATGTTTAAATGATCTATTTGAAGATAATTTTTGTTATTGAACTTGAAGTTAATTTTGACTATACTAAATTATAAGAGGGAAATAGAAAGTGTGCTGAGGATGTGAATTAATGGATTGGGTCGTTGATGTAGAGGTCAAATGCAGTATTTCAAGTTTCGTTGATGAGACTTCAGTAAAGAGAGGCACGACGCTTTAGGTTTTAGCTAGTCTAGAGTGTTTCTGAAATTGACGACATTATTCTAAAAAAGGAGCCTGCAGATGTTAGGTATGGCAGGAGCCCAAGCTTTGCACCTGCTAACCTACCAAGGTTGAAGTTAAGAGCCAATAACATGGGTTGTATAGGTCATTCTGGTTTGTGTAGTGTAGAATTGTATGTGCATGAGTCAGTTTAACGTAGATAAGGATAAAGGTCGTCAGTTATTAAATTATCTTTTTTCGTATGTAACAAAATTACGATCAATTGTTTTTCGTGTGTGTTTGATAGGTTGTTGGGAATGGTTTTAATTTATTTATTGGAAAGAATAAAGAAACAGAAAACCATTTCTAACTCTAACAACCACCAGCAACATGAAGAACTCCCAGACTTCAAGTACCATAATTTTATTACACGCAACTAGAACAAAATGTGGTTTCCTGAAGTTCTCAAAATTTACCTTAGTTAGAGATGTGACATAAAATAGAAGAAACAAGCCAGAGGGCACTAGAAGTTTCAAGAGAAACTTGAAAAGACCTATTGCCCAAAACTGTAGACAAACGCCAGGTTGGAATAAGAACTCTTCTCCAAAATTATTAGAAAAAAGGGAAATGTTATAACTCTGATAAACATAATTATTAATTAAACAATAGAGACAGTAAGGAACCGATAACTGTTACTAATCCAAAGATTAGATAGAGCTCAGCCAGATCAAAAAACCTAACCAGACATCGAGAAAACAGGAATTAGATGTATTTACGGAGAGAATTTCAGTTGAGAATACTCCATTTGCCTCAAATGAGATAAAAAGCTCATTATTTGAGAAAAGCCATCTACTAATCAATAGTTTATTGATGAAAAAACTAATAGGGTGTTGATCGACATTGATTCTATGGCTACGATTATTTTCCCGATTTGGCAATGAAAGGTGAGAAATTGCCTTCAAAGATGAAGAAAGAAGAGACATTGATGCGAACCACAAGTAAACATAAAGTTCCAGCAATTGGAAAGTGCAAAGTTACCTTTCTTTTGGATATTTATTTATATTTCATGATGCATGTGTAATTGATATTGAGGTAGAGTGCATATTAAGAATTGAATTCATGCAGAGACTTATATGTAACACTAGACTAGCTTTAAATAGTTTTACAGAATACAATCAGGAAATTCCTGTGAATTACGTGACAATCATTACGCCAGAGTATGAGCTTCCAGTAACAATAAGGAAGATGGTCATTGTGCTACAGAGAAGTGAAATACTCATACCAGGGATTATTATGAATAAATCTACATCTAGTGACTGGGGCATAATGGAACCAAACACTCTCGCATGTTCTGGGAGATTGTTGGTTGGAAGACCTCTCGTGAAACTAAAGAATAAAGATGTCATACATGACTTTCCTCATGAAAGGCTTAAATATGATCTCATAAAATGAAAAGTTGCTATGGTTTTAATGTAGATAAGACTGGATTTTATCAAGGTGACATGGTATGACCAAACAATTCTCATTACAAAAAACAACGAACTCAAAGTTAAGTAGACATTAAGAAGGACCATATGTTAAAGAACAGACAAGTGGGTGATTTCAGAGAAGCATTTGCCCTTGAAGAACCATCCTGCTGAAGAACCCAAGATTCCTGTTGAAACTAGTCTCAGCTGATCATTAATGATAGAACCACAAGTGGATTCACTCAACCGCCAACTTAGGGAGAACTTCCCTGGCGACAAGAAAGCACATGACGATGATTAAGGCACAAGAGGTCATTTCATTTGCACACCACAACACCCTCGGGGAAGAAAAACACGAAAAAGACTTGGTGAATGGACAGTTTAGTGTACTGTTTTATTTGTGTATTAAAAATGTTGAAGTAACTTCACAATCTAGGAAAGGGACAGAGTGTAAGCTATGTTTTTAACGTTTTAATTTAAATATTTGCTAGATGGATCTCGTCATTCTGATGACATTACATTTATGAAAGTTGAGAATCTAGAAGGTTAAGATATAAATGCGAATGAGTAACTAATGAGCAGTTATTGAGTATCCAATGAGTGATTCATTCAGTTAAGAGTCAGAAAAGCTATTCAGTGTTAGTAGTGAAAGTTATCTCATCTTTTCTGTTATTTAATCACTCAGTGAATTTCATGCTTATTTATTGATCAAAGTTAAGTAAGTTAAGCATAAGTACCATTACTCTCGAAACGTCTGCTGAAATGTTGTATTTGAAATTAGGCCTTCAACCAAACATCGCTTTAGCAAATGTTAAGGAAGAAATATACATTAAATATTTACAGTAGTAAGGGATTAGGGATGATAAACTATTGTTGCGTCTCCGTTCGTTAGTTAATTTTCCGTAAATTCGTTCCGACGAAACTTTAGCGACACAAGTCCTTTCTTAAATAAACTGGTTTATTCTTTCCGAATACAACTTTTCGATACACTTAATTTCAACAGTCGCGCTATAACAAACGCTATAATTCTCAACGAACGTCTCACGTGCTCGACTTCAACAATACTCAGTTCAATTACACATTGTTTCGTCACGTTGTGACCGTCTTATATATACCAGACTACCCCAATCTAGTAGTCTTCCGACAATTCACGAAGGTTCGAGAAGGACGTGGCGTGATACTAGTCACGTGACCTCGCTGACGCAACACTATATTTTTTCTTAAAATGTCGTGTAAGAGTGAGGTAAGAATGAAACAAAGTAGTACAAGGATAGAGTGAACGTACCTTCTCGCTCTGAGCTCGTTAGGTGTGACCCAGTTCGTAACCACAAAGTAACTATCAGAGTTTCCATACTATAATTCGTAACTGTATACATCTGTTTATACATAATTGTATTGTTTTATAGCCATTTGAACAGTGTCTAACTAATAAGCCCGCCAAACAAGTTGTAAGTCACTCTGCGAATGTGCAGCTTATGTTACTGTATCGAATTATGTAACACACAAGTTGCCCACGAATATACTCAAGGGAGGGTTGGTCCACGTGGACACCGGACAGTTGCCAGGTGGGCCAGTGCATTTGATGCATTCTTAGCAATTTATTTTATAATTTGTTTGTTTAGCCAGTATGCAGCATGTGAAAAATTATTGGACAACTGTCAGTGATATTGCCCGCGCTGGTCTTTTAATGCCAATCTACCCCTGAGTATACCTCATAAAAATTGTTATTATCATTATTATTTTTCATTATCTCACTTAATCTAACCTAATAAATTTCTATTTTCTTTACATTTTACTTACTCTTATAATAATGTTACGACAACGCAGGTCACGTGACGCTTGTATCACGCCACTTCCTTCTCGAACCTTCATGAAATATCGGGAGTTTACTAGATCTCGGTATTCTTTTATATTTAAGACGGTCACAACGTGACGGGGGAATGTAATGAGTAATTGAATGTATGCGGACAGAATATTGTTGAGCACGTGAGAAGTTCGTTGTGAATTATAGCGTTTGTTATAGCGTGACTGTTGAAATTAAGTGTATCGTAAAGTTGTATTCAAAAAGAATAAACCAGTTTTATTTAAGAAAGGACTTGTATCGGTAAAGTTTCTTCGGAAAGAATTTTTACGGAAAATTAACTAACGACCGGAGGCGTAACAATAACAACTAAATAATGCACACGAAAAACAAGAAATATTGTACTCAGCTTAAAAAAATTCACAAACCATACCGCTTCCTCTTTTCACCCAATTCAAGTACTGGTTACAAGTGTGATATGTAGGCATGCCACGTGTTTTCTATCTTCTGTAGCGATGTAGAAGTTTTCAAATATTTTGATCGCTTAGTTTCTGTGCTGGTAACACGTGGTCTGGAAAGTCACTAATAATACTTTGTTCTGTATACTTTATTTCTTTGTTCTCTTTAATAAGTGATATTGCCTCCCAGTTGCACAGCGGTATGCCTGCGGAGTTACAACGCTAGAAACCGGGTTTCAATACCCGTGGTGGGCAGAGTACAGATAGCCCATTGTGTAGCTTTGTGCTTAACTTCAAAAAACAAACAACCAAAACAAACAATAAGTGATATTCTCTACCCACGAGGATATTTCAGTATTTCATAGGGGTTGAACATGGTGGTACTGGAATATCCTTTGTTGGCCGATTATGACACTGACTGAAGATAATAGCCTTCCAGTGCTTTCTAGTGACACGTGGTCGAAAACAACAACAATAAAACACGCTAGAGTCGCGACTTATAACTTATAAAAATTGGACACTAGTTTAGATATTCTAGAAATGTAGGAGCGTGATATTTAGAAAGAAATATAACAAATTATCACCAACATATATTTTATTGTAATTCAGTTTACTTTCAACCAAACATTTGTGAATTCAGGATGGTGAGATCACTTCACTCCACGCCCAGAAAGATTAGTTTAAGCCCACTTTTTAAATACCTTTTTACCAACATTCTATTTAATGAAACTATGAACACCTGTCTCTTTATTTCTTATTTTTCATAAAATTTTAAAGGGACAAACAGGAGCTTATTAGCCTATCAAGGATGTCCCTTTCAGCTCCCAACTATGACTATAATCCAATGCATCAAATGATTTAAATCTCCTTGTAAGTCTGCAGCATCTTTCATACAGTTAGCCACCCCAAAAACTTTAATGCCATCTGCAAACTTCAAAATTTTATTAGTCATTCCAACTATTAAATGTTTTTAATTACCAAATTAAACAATTTCCTTGAAGTTTCTGTCACCAACATTTATTTTATGTTCATTGATTGCTCCTTTGACCTGATAGAGGACGCTGCTATGAAGTTATATTAAATAATTTTAAAGTTTTCATTGCATTTTCATTTTTGGCTAGTTTTGGGTGTTCTTATCATGTAATGTTAGGTGACGTCTATCTGTCAGTGTCATTACAACTATGAGTCGTCGTGCTTTCAGAAATGTCCAGGTGAATTTAAGCTGAATTACTTGAGATGATACTTACTCAACTTATTGTAGTATTTCGTTTTGAAGATCGTGCACAGTGTAATTATTACTACTACTACTAAATAACTAATAGTAATAGTACTATTAGTATTAGCTTACTATAAAAATAATAATTACTATTCATTTGTATAATCTAGTTTACACCATAACACTAACACCAACAGCTATTCTGGAGCACTCATGAAATTGTTGTACATATCCAGAGCTGTAGCCAGTTATTTTTGCACCATAGAGCAAGTTTCTAGTCTGTAGAGTATAGTTCTGCACTAGGACTACACCCTCTCCTTTCCGACTATGCTTTCCCATCCTACCTATGCTACAGCTCTGTACATAGCACCTAGACCACTACTAATCCCAACTGGCCTGATGAGCCTTTATAATAATGGTATTGGATGATAAGTCTCGTCATTGTTAGATATGATGGACGTTGTGTGGTTGAAAAATTATAACCTATTCTCCTTTGCTTTCACTCATGGGTTTTCAGAATTATTAAATATTACTATTAGTGGAGCTACTTATTAGCACTATTATAAATAATAGAACAACTTGTACACATTCTTATAACTTTATTATTTATAAGTTATGAATTGGGATTTTAAAGTTAATGTTTTTTAAATGTTCACGTATTTCAAGGTATTTTTCATTTGCAAGTTGCATCTACATTTGATTTGAAATTGAACATGGAGTTAGATGACTTCTCTTTGTAATTTCTTCTAAGTTCTAGCAACATAGTCTGATCATTTGATTTATTTTTTCTAGAGACTATTTATTATTTATACCAGATTATTGTAATTAAATGTCTTGCATATCTATGCCTTTTTTTCTTAGATAAACAGAGAATATTTTTTTAAATCAGCTCTGTCTTTAGTTTAAACTATCATATCAGATAAAACATTTTTCAAATTCAAAGGATCCCACATCAATCCTGCTTCATTCACACATCATATACTTATATGCATATTGTGGTTGCAAAGCTACCTTTATTGACAAAATCAAAGTCTACTATTTGAAAGTGCTTGAGTTTTAGATCTTTTTTTTATTTTAAATTCATTGTACCTTTTGTGTGTGGTCCTGTGTGCTAACTTTTTTTTTTATCAGAATTAACTGTATAGTATGTATTCATGAACACATGGGGTTGACTACAGAACTGGTTACTTTTTATTATCTCCCTTTACTTCTGCTATCCACACAATTAAACTACCAGGCACACAATCTAATTATTGGATTTCAAAGTTTTAGCAGTGGACCATACAAATTTGGAACTTCTGGTTAAAGAAAGTCTTAATGTCAAAGCAAAATCTTTCTAGTTTAAGTAATAACTTCTATCAGTTAAGCCTGTTTGAATTCCTTCTTATTAGGCATATCTTATTTATTGTGGGTCCTTATCCTAGTTAATTTACTGACTTTCACACATTATTCCCCATTTGAGTCTCAACATTTCTATTACAAATATTTAAGGTTATATACCCCCAAAAGTTTTATTAAAATTTTTGTTATTTGTAATTATTGTTTAGTATTTACTATAGGAATTTGTTGCAGTTGGAATATGTGTGTGTGTCCTAAAATATTCAGTAAATTTGTTATTTGTCATATCAGTAGTCATTTTATTCATCTTTAGCTACAGATTCTTATACTATTATATGTAACAGTATTTTCACCACTTTCAGTATCACCTGACATAGCAGAAATATTGAGTATTTCATTGCACATGCAGCTATGAAAGGAAAAGAAGAAAAAATAATGTTATGTAAGTATACCATTACTTATTCGATTATGTACAAATTATATAATACTTTTGACTATTATATTAAAATTTTAGTTTTACACTGGTCTGGGCCAATGTGCTAGGCAGTGTAATACTAATACTAGGCTACTGAAATCCAAAGCTGAACATTGCTCTACATGATGCCATGGGCTAATACTTCAATATTTTTTTGATTTGCACAAATTCAATGGAAAAACCTCTCTATAAAAATATTTCATTTATAAAAGATCTTTACTGCTTTAGTTAGGAATCTATCTACACTGTTTAGCATTAAAGTTTGGTAACTAATATGCTAAAAAATAAATAATTCAAAATTTTTCAAAATAAGCAGTTTTGCTAAAGTTAGGTTATTACACTTTTCATGATTTAGTTTTGCATTTAACATATAGATGTGGGTTGCCAAAATCCTGAAAAAAACATTATAAGTTATAATTTATTATTTGTGTTTAATTCTGACCAATGTTTATTTATTTAAAAAACATTTCAAATATAGTTCTGTCAATAATATTACCAGGAATTATTCAAAACTATGAAGGTTCCAAAGAAATTAAAATATTTTTTTCCAAAATTAAATGACTACTTATATTACAACATGTCTGTGGAGTTGGCAAGTTATTAAATAATAAGCTTCAAAAACAATAATAATGTATATCTCATTAATTGTTCATAATTCTAAGCTGTATTTTTAATTTGAAATTATTTTGTAAATAATATATTGTAGTTTTTATAGTGGTTGTTGAATCAGATGTTTTGCCTTCTTTGGAAAACTTTAATTTGTCAACTTAAATTGGTCAATTTGTAAACATGTTTTAAATTCTATGTATAAAATTTTCTGGACTGATAAAAAAATGTAAAGTTTCTAAAGAAAATCATTATACATCTTATATGTTATTTTTTTAATTAAGGCATACAAAAGTACAAGTTAGCTTTTACTGAGAGCAAGTTGTTTCTATTAAAAAATCTAATTATAAATCGAATTAATGTTTCTTCAACCAGGCAGGTATAGGAATGTTTTATGCTACACTGAAACGTAAACTGTTTACGTATGCACTTATTGCATTTGCAGTATCATACAACTTTCAATTGGTCAGTGAAATATAAACAAATGCACCTGTTCAGAAAAATTGTTATTAAAGTATTCTGATGTTAACCATAAAACTCAGTATTCTACCTTGTAATGTTTTCATTGCAAATAGTGTAGTATGTTCAGTTCTGGATTAACGCATAGGCTACCTAGGCTCAGGTCTAGTGCCCAGGCCAAACAGAGGACCTGCCAGTCACCCAACTAAAAAATTATGGTTGTAAAACTAGCAGAGTAGAAGCAAGAGTTAGTTATCATTATTATTATTATCATTATCATTATTATTTCCAAATATTACTTTGGCCTAGGGCTGCACCTAAACCATAATTCAATCCTGAGTATGTTCATTATCCAGCACCAGCACATTCTTGTTTCTATTCAGCTATTTTATCAGCTTTATAAAAGCTAAAGAATTGAATTGCATATGAATGCAAAAATCAGTTGTATCATGTAAAAACTGTCTTTACTATTGCTTAAACCTCTCGCACAAAGTTACTATGAAAAAATAGTGTACCTTTTTTATGTTTCAGAATATTTTCAAAGACATTAGTAGGAAAATATTTGAATAGTATATCAGACTAAATCAAGGATCTTATCAAAGATATTTAATAGTTAAACTTCCATATAAAATGCTTGCATTTGTTGTCTGTCATTAGGTGGTGAGCAGGTATCTGAGGATTGCAGAATTGCTATGTTGCATATGTTTTTAAGAGTTTCCTTGGAAATTACAGACAAGATCATTGTACTTCTGTAGTGTAAGACTTTCTAGACAGTGATGAAAGAAGCTTTGCAAAATCTAATAGAATATGATAAAAGAAAATCAACAGGAATTCACTAAAAGAAACTTTTCCCTAACTAATATGTTAACTTTTTTTTTGGTGAGGATGTTATATGTTATGTGGACAATGGAAAGAGTTTGGATTTGATGTATATGCATTTAATAAGGTGCTACACATAAGATTAGCTATGAAAATCACATTGGTAGGAGTTTGAGGAAAAGACTAAGACTAATTATTTGGACTGCAGGGTGGTTGGTAGGGTTGGGGGATTAGCTTGATTAATCTATATAATCAGTTACCTGTGAGCATTGATTAGTGTCACATACAAAAATCAATTAATCAAAATTATGATTTAATTGATTAATGTCTTGAAAAAAAATCAACTAATCAGAATTAATGTTTTAAATTATTACTATTTTTGATTATTCTAGCTCTCCAAGTCTCATGAAAATAATCAATTAACAAATACCATAAATTACCCAGCTGTAGTGTTTGAATGAGAGAAAGCAAAAAAACAATTTATGGAGTCCTGTCAAACTGGATCCTTGTTAAACATGGAGTGCCTCAGGAGGATCATGTGCTTGCACCTTTTGTTATTATTGTTTTGTAATTAAGATATTGATAGGGATAGAATTAGTACATTAGTAAAGTTTGCAGATGACATTACCCTCTTGAATATTTCTTGTTGTATTGAAAATATTGAGGTACTACAAAAGGACTTGGTTCAATTGAAAAGTTGGACAGGCCCCCAAGTAGCACAGCAGTATGTCTGTGGACTTACAATGCTAGAATCTGGGTTTCGATACCCGTGATGGGCAGAGCACAGATAGCCCATTGTGTAGCTTTGTGCTTAACTTAAAACAAACAATCAAGTTGGACAGATATTTTACAAATGAGCTTTTTTCATAGTAAGTGTTATCATAATATGAATTATATATGTTTAATGTAGATAGGAACCACTGAGTAGCATGTGTAGAACAATTCTGTAGGATTTTAGGGTGTATTATGAGACATTGATATCAAGTCAAAAAGGTAAAATCTTATATAAATCATAAGTTAACTCCCATTTGAGAATACTGTTTTAGATTACTTATCTAAGAAATGATATTAACTTGTTGGAAAAGGCATAGAGGAGGGCATCTTGGATGATTCTGGGGATGGAAGAATTATGGATATAGGTTACAATCGTAAAAGAAGGTAAGAGGTGATCATGTTGAAGTTTACAAGATTATCCATGAGGAACAACAGGATAAAGGCCTCTGATATGTTGTTGTTCTATTTTGAAGACAATAGGATGAGAAGACACAAATTTAAGATTTTGAAGAGGTATACAGGATAGACTCTAGTTAAGACAGTTTTATTTTTCTAACAGGGTAATGAGTTATGGATTTATATGCTATTGGCAGTAATGTAGGCTGGCACTTTGTAAGAGTTCAAAAGTGGAATGGATAATTTAAGAAAAATAAAGGGTGCTTTAAGTTCTTAGTATTTTTCATAAGGATAGGTGTGTATAGGGACAGCCAGGAAGTATCTAATGGTTACTTGTTGCCCATATGTTATTTTAAGTGCAAATTCTATATAGAAAAATATATTATTTGATGTTCAATGTCAAAAACCAACATCAGTAGCATCTTTTAAGTACTTAACAGTAGTTAGTTGATCACACTACTGTATGATGTAAATACACTTTATGTGTCTTCATGAAAGACATTTAGAAGCTTTTCTGTTAGTCACATAGAAACTGATTTAAGCTTTCAAACAAACAAAAAATAAGTAACTCTAACTTACATGTTTTCTTTTTCAAGAATATTTAAGAAAGTTCAGATGTTAGTGAAATCTTAATATCTTTAATTGTTGCATGTAAAAACTAAATATGATGGAGTGAAATGTTTAATTTACTAATAAAATAAATATAAGAAGCTTTTCAGGTTTTTATTTGTTTTCATAAAACTCAAAATTTATTTTAAAAATGTTTCATAACCAGAGTTTGATGTCCCTCTAAAAATGAGTAAATATATTTTAAAAATCAACTTTGCTGCTAATATAAAAATAGCACATAACATATGGACAAGGGACATTTGGTCTTACAAAGTTGTCTTTTTGTGTGTATCATTGAGAATGTAGAGAAAGACCAGTTATTGAAGAATTAAAATTAAAAAATATGAAATTTGTGGGTTGTTATACTGAGTTTTTATATGGTTTAGTTGAATGCTTGAATAAATAAATATTGCAAAAACAAGGAACATGTTGTTTTTTTTGTTACATCATTCTCTAGATAAACTTAAGGTTGAATGTGTTAGGCATAAGATACATTATCAATAAATCCAAATGCTCTGGATTACACTGTAAGATTTTACAATAACAATGTAGAAGCAACTGACAAATTTAGTGTTTTTTAAATCACTATATGACGATAGTTGTATTCTTATCCAGTGGTAGCTTAAATATATCAAGAAATGTTCTTTAGGAAAAAAAACTTGTTTTTTACCACTATTATTTTAGAGCTTTCAAGAGGGCTATAGGTTTGATAGAATGTTTAGTAGAAACAGAGATTTTATAGTGTACTTTGAGTTTTCTTTTGCCATTATCTTATGCATGTTATTAATATAAATAAGATTTTTTTTACAAATGTGCATGTACTTTGACCTGACTAAATAGTCAGTATAATTTACATTTTAAATACGAATGGAGAAATGTTCTTCACTGAAACCTTGTATTTAAAAAAAAAAAATGTTTATCTTTGTCAAAAGAAACAAGTAACTAGGATTGTTTTACATTTATTCTCCAAGAGAAAATTTTTGTTGTTGTGTAATTTATGGTAACAAATACTATTATGATAACCATGAAATCTGATTGTATAGAAGTGGACATTTGTTAGTATTTTTTGTATTTATCAATTAGCAAGCCAAGGATCTGTTAAAGATGAAGTCACTTCAAAATCAAGAACAAGAACAAAACTTAAACAGCTGTTGACAGAAAAAAGGTAACGATATTCAACTGTAGTTTTCTTTACATAATATTTGTACAAAAAAAATAAAGATTAAATAGAATGATTAGCATGTGTGAAAGAATCCCGGACTCTTTGTAAAATTTAAACAAAAGGCAATGCCATTTAACTCGGTTTTCCATTTTGTTTACATATTTATCACAGATACTAACCTGCTGTGCATGTACAATGCATCTGTTATTACAAATACTCATCCTGTTCTGGATATATATATACTTTCAATACACATATCACTTTTTATTATACATGTACTCCAAATGTTTAGGGCAGATAGCTACATTGCTTTGCATCATAAAACTTCCATCCAACGAGAATTAACATTAATTTATACATGCAATCATAAGTGTATTGTTTGTGCTGCTGGTGTACAATACAGATGTAGTTAATATTCAAAACATTAACATAGTGTGAGGGATAAATCAATTTTAAGATGTATCACACAGATATTTATATAACAAAATGAAATAACCTTCACTATCCCAAATATAAAAAAGTAACAGAAATGTTAATCTACATATATTAATTACAGTAAGTTGCATTCTGGGTATGTTTTTTTGTGTAACGAGGAGGGAATAATTTTTTGAATTTCTTCTGTGATGTTTTTACTTAGTGTTTACCTAGAGCTTAGAATATTAATCTCAATACAAAGATACTTCAGTGTGATAAAATACACAAACGATCCTATGTATTTCCAAATAAACATCATTCCCTAGTGGGCAAGTAGTTAATTTAAACTTACAATGCTAAAAACACATAATCCAATGTATTTTCAAATAAACCTTGTTTCCTGGTGTGTCAGTGGTTAGTTTAGGCTTACAACACTAAAATACAAGGTTTGCTTCTACATAGAGTGCAAATAGATGATAAAAAAAGATGTGATAAAAGTATGTTTTCTTAACAACAGAAAGTTTTGTTTTGTAAGAATATTAAAGTAGCCATCATAGCACACCTTTTGAGAAAAGGTTTGACTATAAATATTTCAGTGTTGTGAGTTAACTCTGGCTTTAATGCACATTGAAACTTAATTTTTGGTAAAGATAAATATATTGGTCCTTTCTGGTGTTATTAAGACTGAATACTATAGGAAGGAAAAATAAGGTGGTAGTGATATAACTTGCTGACAGGAGGTGGTGCTGTATTGTCTGAAAGAAAATAAATCTGAACCATTATTTAACAAAGTCATTGTGTGTCAGTTTATAACAGGAACTGCTGGACTGATTGTCACCAAACCTGGACAGGTATCATTAGGCACCCAGAGAAGTGACATAGAGGGATGGTGTTCAGTTTTAATCACCTTATGCCACCTTTGGGGTGTCCCTATGTATTGAACCACTAAATCTGCTAATACTTAGTATTAAATATAATAGTTGTAAATGTAGATACATATATTGATAGTCAGCAACAAAACTGTGTCTCCAGGGCTCTAAAATTCTTAAGTTCCAGCACTGAAGGTAATCAACCAGATTATGTGGTTACAGTCAAGTATAATTTAACTATAAACTTGTAAGAATCATGCTTAAGTACTTTTTTGGTTTGTTTACTGCATACAGCGATTTTGAGATTATTTCAAACTTACTGTGTCTCTAGTCTTGCTTGTTTTTCAATAAACAAAATATGTACAAACATTAAAAAAGAAAAAACCAAAGATTTTTTCACATAATAAATATGTTGAGTTACAAAACTGATTTATGTTTAAGTATTTAATTTTTTTTCTATAGGTGTAAAGTATATCTAGAATTTTGGATGTCTGGTTACAACATTGTTTAAACTTGGAATTACTTGTAATCATCTAGTTATGGAAAGGCAGTCTTTTTGTTAACTATTTTTGATGCATTTTTGTGGCCAGATGCTAAGCTTATGATAGTATTTCATACAGATATGGGTTTACCTTAGTTTTGAACCATAGGTAAATAATATTGTAATAATTCATTTCTACCAGTTTTTTATTTTAGGATTACCATGAATTAGTTTATTCCTAAATTAAGTTTGAGGTGTTGAACGCAGGGTGTTCAAAGTAGATAGTGTAGTTTAATTCATACAACATCCCAAACCTGGTTTTTATCTGTTGTCAAAATGAGTTTTAATTTTACCTAATGGTAAATCTGAGGATTCAAGGTGTGCACCCTCTTGCTTCCAAATACATTTTGCACTTTTGGGTCATGGTTTTGCTATAAGAGTGATAGTAAACTTCCACTATTTTATGAGATAAGAGTAGCCTAAGAGTTTGTGTGAATGCTTTGACTAGCTGCCTTCCCTCTAGTCTCTCAGTACAAAACTAGAGATGGCTATGTGGTGACAGCCCTTGTGTAGCTTTCTGCAAAAACCTGCAATTAAGGTAGAAAAGGGAAATGCTTTCCCTGTCACATGATCAGACTGCAAATAATGGAAAAAGATGTAATAACTTTTTGAATATATCACTATTTCTAAAAAAAAGAAATAATCCAAGATATTTGTTGGATCTTTTCAACTATTTCACTTTAAAGTCTTCTGTGACCCCCAGTTTAAGAACACCTGGTATATTCTGGAAAATTTTTCACAAATAACTCTTCAACCCTGCAAAAAATTTATTTATACAGAAAACTGATGAACCAGAACTTTGAGACTTGGAAAAATTAATTTTGTTATTTTATATTTCATACTCACAGTTAATTAATTATGTAAAATATTAATATCCTTTATGCATGATCTTTCAGTGAGGAATGGGAAGAAATGTCAAGACTGAAACAGGTAAGTTGTCTGGTGAGAAACTTGACTAACATTTAATATACTTTTATGGACATGTAGAAATGATTTAAAAGGCTAGTTTATAAATCAGAGGTCAGTATGAAGTGAAATATTTAAGTAAACTTTATTTAGTAGTATACATTTATGGGTAGTTTTATGTAACTATAATCAAACATACTGTACACAGCAAACCTTTCTGCTTAATATCCATTTCATATTTTTAAAATAGGTTATCATTCCCATTTTCTAACTGTAGTTATACCATTCTCACACTTAGGGGCTTTGTAAATGGAAACAAAACTAATGCACAATTTTTACAATGTAATAAAATTTTCCATTTGAGAATGTAAAGGTGGAATCAGTCAGTGAACTCTAACTAGATTATATTTCTTATGCCTAATGATAAGCATAAAGTGTCGGTAACTAACTGCTAGTTCCAACTTGTTTGACAAATTCATTTGTATATAAAAAATCTGAAGCCATCGGCATATTTGTTATCAATAAAGAAATATAAAAAAGTTGATTCATCTCGATGTATCGGATAACATCCATTTATCATCTTAGGTTCACTGAAATTAGGTAAGCAGTACAAACAAATTGTAATTTGGGTTCCATGATAAATGAAGCTGCAAAAGTAAAAGAGGTTTAGGTAGGCTAGAAATAACTTATTAAACAAAATTCATTGTCCATGATTTAACCTTCATTAGGCTCATAGTAATAGTTATTTTGTTAGTAATTAAAAATTAGTTTCTGTACATTTAGTTAGCAAAAGTTATATGTGTATTTAACTCTCCGCACGTGGGCCTGGCTCTTCTGTGCATGTCACAACATTTCACAGAATTATATTCAAATTTTAACTAAATTTATTATTAATGTATGTTAATAATTAGCATCATAGCGTGTTTATAATTCAAATTCTCATGTTATCTAAGTTTTGATTTATTAATTTCACAAGAACATACTTAAAAATTTCTCAATCTTCATTTCTGTCATGTGACATGTTTGTGTTGTGATATTTCTTCTTCAATATAATAGCAGCTACAATGTTTGACCTATCCTAGACACAATGTATAAATAGTTCCAAGGTCAAATGTAGCAGATCAATTTGATAACTTCTTCCTGTAGTCAGAAATAAACAAATTTCTCAATCCATGACAGAAGCCCCACCCATCTATACTTAACTTCCAAGGCAATTTTTCTAAACCACATGCTCCTGTTTGATGTACATATTTATAATCAATGGAAATAAATTGGTGCTAGACAAAAGAGGATTTGATTCAGTGCTTTTTTAGTGAGTTGAAGCTCTTAGCATTTAACTTTTTTTTTTACCTTGGAAACAATTCTTACTGATAGAAAATAATGTTTTTGCTGAATGTTATTTGTAATTGATAGTAGATTAAATCCTGTGGAATACTGCATTTTCAAAAAGAAATATTGCTGATTTTTTGTGTGCATAGACACTTAATATCTGTATTTCTGTAGTGAACCTAAGAATACGAATTTGGCTGATTAATTTATGCTTCTATGAAATATACAGAGGGTTGAGTACATTATATTAAAATAACTCTGAATATGCAAATCAGCAAGCCACATGACAACCACTACCAATATAAAGTTGTAGTAGAATTACATGTACCAGAACTACAGTTTGACATAGTTTGTGCTTCATAGGTAGTGTGATTCCACCATAAGATAATTATTTTTGGGAATGGCAAAATATATGTATACTCAGATCATAAAGATGTGTTCAGGTTGGGGATATTCAATAAAAAAAAAGGAATATGGATGAACTTGAGGCACCAGGACCATTCAGAGACCTGCAACAAGTCATACCCAAGCCTTAGTAAGCAAAGGGTAGCATTTTGTAACAGGTAAGAGTACATTAACATAAAGGTCAGTGGAAAAAGCTGTTCACATGTACAGGCAATAGGATGCAACATTATCAAGAAGGGATCTCCATCTGGACTACATCAACATGGTATGGGTTCACCAAGATAAAATTTCAGTCATACCTCTCATTCAATCTTCTCACACCTCAATCAGCTGCAGAATGAAATAGGTATTCATACAAAGGCATGCTAGTCAAGTTATTGGATTCAGCATCTTTGGATTTCTTTTACAATTGGATTGTTTAAATGGTTGCTGCGAAATCATTATTCTTACACATGTATTACGGACAGCCTGCAGTGACAATTGGTGTGCTTTAGACATGAAATTCCAGTGACAGAGATTTTTTCAATGGAAGTTATGCTGCAGGGTTATTTTTAAGATGCACTGTCATTTGAAAAATCTAGATGTCGTGACATAGACTGTAACAACTTGGTGAGGTTCCAAAATCATTTTATATAATGTACTTAATCTCTGTATTATGTAATCCCATTACTAACAATGTGTGGAATGTAAAGAAATTGTACTACTAATTAAATTAAGACATTTTAGCTGTGTTTTTCCTTCTAAGTTATTTTTATTTAACATGTCCCTCAGGAGCCAAGGGGTGTCTTTACAATTTGTTTAATATTAAAGTAAGTTCATTCCAGAAACTCCCAAAGGGGTGGTTTTGGAAGTATCTTTTCGAGACAAGTTTTTGTTTGTTAATTAATATATTTTAAGTGAAACTTCATAAAGTCTCCATACTAGCTAGTAGTAAGGTCTACCCACTGGGTATATGTCAGTAAAGCCACATTCTCAGCATTATTAATTAAGCAATTGCCAATGTTTTATGCTTCTGCTAACACCTTTTTATATTCAGCTATCAATTGAGGTACGAATGATTTCACATGTGATTTGGTAGGGAAGGTCAAAGCATCACGATAACCAGCAGTAGGACGAGCAGACAGGAACACTTTGAAAGCAGTTACAGATTCCAGAATACCTCTGTGTGTTACTTGGAGACTTCCATGTTTCTTGTGCTTGGCCATTAAGCTTGTGATGTGCTGACGGATTTCAGTCACCTTAACACTTCAAATCACTTTTCACAGCCCCAATGCTAAAAGAGTGTGGGGAATGCCTTCTCTTTAGCTAGTAAACATGTCCAAAACATATCATTTCAAATTTAGAAAAACTGGAGTGGGTAGTTTGTTTTTTTTCAACAAAAATGTCCCCCACTGGCTCATGAGGGGCTTGTTAATTTACAAACTTTCTAGGTATAGTTGCATTCAAACAACTTAAGGCAGTTGTTGTTATTGTAACTAAAAACTTGTTCATGAAATAAAAACACCATCAAAGAAAGAATCTTTGTTATAGCATTTTAATTTATAATGATTCATTTATTATATGAACCTAGTTAATACATCATAATATATAGAAGGAAATACTATTGTTTAAAAATATATGTATTATATTTTCCTTCAATAAAAATAATAATGCTGATTAACTTTGTTGAACTTGAAGGATGATCTTCGGTTTCTATCCAGTCCTACAAAAATGTCGAAAAGAAATTCTAACAGTGCAGCTCATAATGATTGGAGTGTAGCAAGTGGCAATAGTAATATGGGCTTTATCGTGGAAGATCAGGAAAGCAACCTTGGCACTGATGAAACTGACATTCAAGAAGTGGATTCAAAGATAAAACCAAGAAGCTCTGGATATTTCATGGTAGAACAGGAAACAGATCAAGAATGTGTTAAAAAAAATGATACTCCTGAAGGCACGTATTCTCAAAAGATGGTAGACTCTTCAAATGAGTTTGTCATCATGGCTAACCAAAGTCCAAGAAAAAGGAAGAAGAAGAAGCCTCTACAAGATAATTCTGTTGAAATGGATACATTTGAACAGAAACATAATATAATTAGCAAAGAAAAAAATCCAGAAAAAAAGAAATCAAAAAGTAAACAGAAATTAAAAAGTAAAGATACTGGAGGTAAGACCAGTTTGTGAAATAATGACAGTTGTAATTACTGTACAGAGTGTCCATAAATGTTGTAGACATTTTGTTATGTAGTAACTTAACAAAGTATATGGGAAAGTACAGTTGGTTTAATAACTCCCAATAACACCACCACCAAACTCCTAAGCTATATTCCATCTCAACAGTATTTGTTTGAATCAAAATTCAATATTTTTATCATTATGTACAGCTAAAATGGTGATTTCAGAAAAAGTAACATGATGGTGCTTTTTGCTGAGCACATGGTACATGGGATTCCAAGAAACCTGTCATGAATAAACACCATTGTACAATACCACTTGATATGGTGTAATTAGTTCAAGTATATAGAATCTATGTAACCCAGCAGCAGCATTAGATGATCCAGCATGAAGGAAGACAAGTCACCCTTTTAATGTAGACTGGGATTTTCTGACACAATAACTTACCTCCTTTCACATAATTGTGACAGCTACTTTTATTGACAACTACTGCCTTCTCTATGTGCAAATTTTCGCTCATCACTAGCCTTGTGCTCCCACCTACATCCTTGTGTTGCATGTGTTACAGCTGTGTTGTAGCATGCAAATGAGCATGAGACAACCCTCCACCGTTAGAGGTATGAAACACCTTCCTAGTGCAGCTGACTCCCTTTATACTCAATTTTGATTTGGCACACTCAAGTACAGACAGGTTTTAATTTTGCTCATTTTTACTTCATTTTTTTTATATTTAACCTAATTTGTTCAACAAATGACTTAATTGATTTTACATTCTGCACATTTCCATGATAATTTGTGTATTGAATTTGTTTTATCCACTCTTTTATTTGAATTCTCAAATTAGTTTTACAACTGCTATTTCTTTTGTAATACTTGCCACTGTACAACATCTGTCATTTCTGTGGATTCGGGCTACAGTATTTCAGTGAGGTGGTTTCGGCCTTCTTTTGCCGAGAATTGGATTTCATCATGTGGCCTAATATGGCTCTTGCACCAGTGCCAGATGTACCACTGCCTGGTGTGTCTGGTTTGTATGATGACGTTTTGGACAGACTTTTACCACATTCTATATTTTTTTTTGTCGTGCAGTCAAGAGCTATGCCTATGAATGTTCCTATGTTTTTTGTTGACCATTCCTTGATATAATTTCCCAGGTATGATACCTTTTGTCTGTTTGTTAGTTTGCCCTTCTTGTACAGCTTTTAGAGTCCATGCTGTTTAGCTCATGACACAGTTAAATTCTGGGATTTGCATTTTTTCCTGGACTCTCATACCTTCGAGTCTTTCATTCAGGCATGAGGATCACACCATGATAATGTAGTGTACTTTTCCCAGGCCCAGTTTTTCCATTTGTTTCTACCCCTTCCCCAATTTCTTTGTTACCTTTTCCAACACACCTCTCTTCACCATGTCTATCCAACGGACCTCTGTGGGGTTTTTGGGGGAGACTTGTACCTTCCCTATTTTTCTCTCCCTCTGTACCTATATACTTGGTTCCTCCATTGATTGAATCTTCTTGATGATGTGCACTGTTTACTCTAGTGTGTCTCCCTCCTTTAATTTTTCCTTGCCACTCGTTTGACCCAATATTTTGTGACCATCAATATTTGAGAGTCTTTCTACCTCATTGGAGTGCAAAGTGGTTCATTTATTTTCCTCCTTGTGTTTTGACATTTTCAACCCTGTTAGGGCCTGTTCCTGTGTCATGCACACCTCCTTCCTCCCCTTTCCTAGTACTTCCTTTCCAGGTTCTGGGGGCACAGCTACATTTCCTACACACATTCACCATTGATGCATGGGTGCTTCATGCATGGATAGGACTTTCCCATTCTCCACTTCTCACAGACCTTTTCCTTACCTCCTTGGATCCCACTTTTTTCTCACCAATGTCTAGCAGATTGGTAGGGGTTCTTTTCAGTTGGGACGATATCTTACTGGTTGACTATCCAACCTGTATCACATCATTGACCTTCTTCTTTCTACTATCGAATGTGTTTGTTTTTTCACCCTTTGGTGAGTTTTTTTTACTCCAGGTGTTTGGTTGACCAGTGTGGTCATCTCAGATGCTTCCCTTTACATACTAATTTTCACCCACATAATGGGTGTTGCCTTTGTTCTTGTCTTTGGGGGCATCGGGTCTTTTTAGTCCATTTTAGTTAGGTGGTCATGACTTTTTTCCATCTTCTATGATCACAACGTCTGTGGTTTTCTTCATCACATGGACAACTGGCTGCATTTGGCTCTGTCTCCTCAGACATCTCTCACTCACATGCTTTTCTTTTGGGAAAGCTACATGTGTGGGTTGGCTTGTGTCATTGGAGAAGTCCTTTCTTATCATGACCCAATACCTCATCCTTCATGGGGTTTTCTTCAACTCCTCTCTTAGTTGGGTCCATCTTTACTTTTAGTTGTATTTGATGGAGTTAATGGTTACCAATGCTCAAGTCTCTCCTTCATTCACTGATAAAAAGGTTCTATCATTTTTGATAAATTGGACTTCCATGGAAGCTGTTCTTCCTGTGAGTTGTGCTCCCTTGCACGACCATCAGTAGCTTTGCGTGATATATGGAATCTTGTTCAGGATTCCATTTTCATACTCCCTTCCTCTTTACAGGTCGTTTTTGCCTGGTGGCTCTACAGGGACTTCACCATGGCTGGCATCCCTCCACCTTGTACCTTTTGCTAGATACATCTCATGATGTCACTGTTTTTTGGTCTTCAGTTGGATCGAGGTTCCACATAACTCTTTTGGAACTTCTTGTAGTTTGTTGGTGTTGAATCATTTTCTCTTTTTAGTACAGAGCAGGTTGGTCATGATTCATTTTGACTGTTCAACCATTGTCTCTTCCAAGTATAAACTAGGGGACACCAATTCTCATTCACTTTATTTTGAAACATTGGATCTTCTCTTCTGGGTTCACTCAATGCACATTTGCATGTTGGCTTGTCACATCCTGGGTGCTCATTCTTTTTGTGGATCCATTATCTCATCCCAACTTGATTCTTCCCGTGGAGTGGTGTTCTGCTTCCAGTTGGGTGCTCCTCTACTGGTCAAATTTGCCACACACCCTCTGTTCTGATCTCTGGTTCATTATCCATTGGCTCTGGCAATGAATGCCTTCAGTTTGGATTGGACCAACAGTTACAGGTATGCCTACCCTTCTATCTGTCTCCATCCCTGGGTTTTGTCTGTCATCCAAGCCACTCCATGTTGAATACTTTTCTTTGTCTCATTGCACAACTTTTGTTCTCCGTTCTTCCACTGCTTCGGCTTCAAAAACTATAACAGTATAACATCTTATCTTTCCAAAGTCGGTGGACTGTATGTCAAAATGTGTGGTCCCACAAACTCTAGGCGAGGCTTAACAAAGGTCAGCTCATTGGATGATCGATCGTCCAACGAAGTAAAGCCAAAAATCTTCCAGTGGAGTACTGCTACCTGAAGCCCGTGTAAATGAGCTGATAAAACATATAACCTCCAAAGTGGTAATGTAGAATTCATAATGGAAAATGAATAACCAAACACAATTATGTTGGCAGAAACAAATAAAAAGTTTTAGTGATGAAGTAATAACTTCCTTAACAGGGTAGAAATATAAAATTATTCCACTTTGGAATAACTCGCCAAGCTAAAAATATTAGTATTGTATAGTAAAGAGTAAACTTGTTGAAAGAAATTAATACAAAGATATGGAAAGAAATTAAAATAAAACACTTGAAGAGTGCACAAACTAAATGTTACAAAATGAGTACTGCTAAACTAGAAGTTATTGTTTGGTAGAATTGAATAGAGGGAGCCACATGCGTCAAGAGAGTATGTATCACTCTTATTGGTGGAGGGTTGTTGCATGATTATTTACATCCAAGATGCATTGGAATTAGTCAGTTCCATATGGGTGGGAGCTTCAAGGCTTGTGGCATGCATAAACAATTTTTGCATATAGAGGGCAGCACTGAAAGAGAATAGCCGTTTATGTGAGAGGAGGTAAATACCTATCGGAAATACATTTTCAGTATAGGAGAATTATAACTTTAAATCTAGATGGACAGAAAATTGTTACTTGTATGTGCTTTTGTACTAATCTGCCTGCCTGCCTGCCATCTTGTTACCTATCCATGTTATTCTCATTGCTGATGGTAACTTACATGCATGTTTATAAACTTTAATTCTACTGATCAGTAGTGTCCATGTGTGCTAACATGTATAGTGAAACTTCTGCTAGATTGCTTGGCTATTCTATATTGCCTCTTACTACGACACTTGTCCTGCTGAAACTCTATCAAGACTATTAACCTACATAATTGTATTATTGTTCTTCATAGCATTGTCTGTTGCAGAGTGTCTTTATTTGTTCATTTGTCCTATGAACAGTGTTTTATAAAATAACACAGCAGATTAATTTTCATATTATGAGCAACAAAAAAAGTTTGGCAAAACAAAAATTAACTTTCAGAAACATTATTACACACCATTAAGCATACTGTTGTATTATGAATTGCATATAAACATTATTTAATTTGTCTAATAACATAAGAACTTTCAAGATGAAGTATTTTTGTAATTAAAGTTTGCAATGTTGAAAAATCTTTGCCTTGATATATAGCATCAAAAACTGATACTTTGACGAAGTTATTTTTAAAGTGACAGAAATAAAGTGAAGTGTAATCAACATAATAGAAATTTCAACAGATATGTTGTTGACATACTAGATGTTTAAATAGAGATATTGTTAACAACCTGGCAGAAAAGCCTGGGAATGTTCCATTAGAAGCTGTTAATGAGGCTAAACCATCAGAAAGGCACAATAACCCCATCCTCGGAATTATAGTCCATCATAGTGACCAACTAAAATCTGACCCACTTTTGTCAAATCCTGCAGTAAGAATCCATATTGTGGACATGAATTCGGGAAAGTACTTGAAGAAACTACATGAGTAAGTTGTAATTGGAAGTTTACAATTTTATTTTTTATTTGCTATTACAACTTGATATTCTAATAATTAAGTAATGTAAGTTGCAAGTATTTAAGATAAAAAAAGGCCTTATATGTTACATGTACATGTAATCTTTATCATTATTAATACAAGTTCTATAAAAATGTACAAATGTTTGTAAAATAAAAAAAAAATGCTTTGGTTCTAATGTACACCCATAATATTTGTGGTGGTAGAGTGTAGTATTCCTGGTTTAGGGAAATAGTGGTTCACAGATAAGAATTATTCCCACATGAAACGAGGTTTGAAGATTTTGCTCAATGAAATGGTTGTATGAGAACAAATATAGAAACAGAGAAACAGACAAGTTTGATGTCAATTCCCAGTTGGTATTCACAGTAAAGTACCTATATGAAGAAAAATATTTTAAAGCACATCTTGATCCATTCAAAGAAGAGGCCAGTCTCTTTAAAAGGGTCAGAAACTGCTCTCACAATACACACTCTTTTTGTAGTTGGCCAATCTTAAATTATGTCAGAATTGTGAAATATCTCTGCTCCATGTGACAATTGTAAAACTATCCTCCGTACATAAGGTAAACACAACTATTCCATGAAAAAGTAGATGAAGTCTGTGATCAGACCATGTTACAGAAAATAATACATCAGACAGAATTTTGCATATGAACTCAGAATTAGAACTTAGAAAATTTAAAAGATTTTGTAAATTCAAAATGTATATCATGGGTAAAGTAAGATATGTAGTATTTGCACATTGTGGAACTACAGATGAATAGAGGTCTGATTATGAATGATTATTTATTATATGGTTACAGACATTTTTCGATATGTAGTAGTGAAGTAACTAAATTCTTTTTATTGTAATTTGATAAAAATCAATTTTAATTAGATGATTCAGTAAATTTGAAAATGGCCTATATTGAAATAATGTTGTATCTTACTGCATTATTGGATTTTAGATGAAGTTATTAATTAGTGAGCTCTAAGGACAGAGCATTCCCTTCATGTTGAGTACACATAGCGTGCACCAAAACACAAATATTTGACAGTCATTCCATACAATAAACACCTGCATCAGTCTGTATAAGTGTTATGGAAGCCTTTTTAACTGAAATGTTATTTATTGTGTGAAGTACCCATTCAGTTTTTTGTAAGTGTAGAATAGTTTTGTATCCATGAATTAATCTATTTTGCTGTAGGACATTCTTTGGTTTAAGTCTCAGGATAAAGGAAAGGATCCCAATTACCTCTACTTTTGTGAGAAAAGATGAGTAGGAACATTTAATTTTGAGGTATATTTAAATGTTTGCAGTATGTTTTGGAAGTCAAAGTCTTAGCAATAAAAGGGTTTTTTAAGATATATTTCAAATTAGTTAAAACAATTTTTTTAGATCTAGGCCAGTTGCATTCTACTATGAAACTCAACGTAATGTGGATTACATTTTGCCAATGATGACACAGCCTTACGATATTTGCAAGAAAAAGTGAGTTCTCAATATAAAGTTCCTTATTTCAAATCATCCATTGAAAATGCACAAATCCAAAATAATGTTTTTTTTTTTTCAACTTCTGTTCACATGACCTTGATTTTTAATTCTTCATGTACTTTGAAATTAGACTAAATTAGTCTTAATTTTGGTTATGTTTACATGCACACCTTTTTTTTGCTTTTCTGTAGTAAAAGAGTGTTTGAGGTTGTTTAGATTTTTTCCAGTTAGAGCAAGCACTCAGGTTGTCTTATTCTGGTATGTGTTGTTAAGAAAAATGTATTTACCCACATAAGATAAAAAGTCCCATACCATTGCACAATTGATGAGTATCAAGCTATGAAGCTTCCTCTGAGAGCATAATCATTAGGTTATATAACCTTAAAAAATCACTTGGGTGCATCTTTTAATTATATACTCTATTGCATTGGAAAATATATGGAATTTCTATCAATGCTTTGTTTTCAGTTCATTGTAAGCTTCAAGATATAGTTGTATGTTCTTAAGTTAGGTATTCAGATATATTATCTGTTAGTTGAAACTTCAATGTCTTTTTTTTACTTTACATGTACATATGTTCATCTTTTGGTTGAAACTTATTGTAACTATTCCGTTAAGGGTCATACTTCCTTTCTGATAGCTTTGATTTTTGCTGGTTTTCTGGTTCTTTGTCTGGAATTTGTGGGTTCACTTATGAGTGGAATAGTATTTTTGTGCCCACTATCTGTTTAATTATCATGTCAACTCTTCTTTCCAAAATTAAGTTAAATCCTGTGCTGGGTCATTTTGCCATAATCTAATCACTCTTTAAAGCTCTATGGTGGTTGAGTGATAAGCTTAAAGGCTTGTAATACTAAAATTTGGGGTTCAGTCCTTGTTTTGGTTACTGTGCCATTACTTCATGTGTTGTTTTGTACTTACACACTCATCCTGCACATCCTTCTGTAACACCTACAGTTTTTATTTTTAACCAGGCTTCTTTCCAATAATGTGTGTTAGATATGATTCAGCATTGTGGTTGGTCCTTTCAGAAACAAGGTTCTCTCATCACCCTTAGCTGTAGGTTCATCTAAAACCTGTATTATCCAGACTACTTTCTTATCAGAAATATTCCACAGTCTGACTTAATTGTAGGAAGGTTTTGTAAGTATTTCAGTGTGACTGCATTTTGATGTTCAACCCCAGGATTATGAAATTACTTAGTAAAAGTTAGTACCTTTTGTTTTGTGTGTTTCAGTCTGCTTATGCTTATTGTTCACATCAGGGAATTATTTTGCTTTTGAAAGTGACATAACTGTAGTAGTTTCCTTCTCAGTTTGTTTTTCTTTTTAACCATGCTGAGATTTGATATAGGTTCTGCCTCTGTCATGTTTCCAGGCAATACCCTAAGAGCTATATTTTGATAAATTTCAAGTATAATACATACTTTTTTTCAAGCTTAGAATTAAATGTAATAAATAATCTTAGGTGAATTAATGCATGAATACTGTTAGTTTTACTGAGATTTTATAAAAAAATATTGATTTTTAAGGAAATTCATTAATTAACATGTGTAAAAAATAAATAAAAGCTACAATTTTTAATATTACCTATACAGTTCATTTGTTGCAATATTATATACTGTTTTGAGGGCATCAAAATTTTGAGGATATTGAACTTAGCTATTCCAAGTGAAAGATACTAAAGGCCCTGTTGTAAATCCCTGTGTTATTTTCTATCCTGTTTTTTCCATTTCAGCATTCCACAGAACCAATGAAACTTTCACGTGGGTCAGACTGTAATTACATTTAGATGTCAGTTTTTACCATCATATGTATGATTGTTTTGTTTTTCTTTTTACCTACCACCTCTCACTTCAAGACAAATTTTAGAAGGCTTACAGATCTTCCCATCCTTTAGGGAAAAACATACTTGCTGATTTCACGGGAACCACACTTCTTGTCATGAAGTGATTGAGGTCCATCCAGTTTTTCCTTGATGGTTGATGTGCTTCTCTCCTAAACATTACTCTGTATGTGTCATTCATCATTTGGGAGAGTTGTGTGCTTTTCTCCTTTTGATTAATAGTTTCATATACTACATGCAGGTGATCATTGAACATTTTTGTTGTATACAGTATGTGGACAACTGTGACACGAGATTCAGTAATCATATAATCAGGTTTAAAATATTTCCATAACTAATTAGCTCTATCTTGAAATAGTATACTTCTAATATGAACTTACTACAATAACTGACATGAGTGTAGAGGCTTTTTTTTGTTTGTTTAGACTGCAAAACATTTTAAACAGAATTTTAGATTGTGCATCATTAGGAAACCTGAATGTTGAAAATGTTTTTTTCAGAGTTAGAAAATAAATATATTTACAACTATCAGATTACAGACAAAAAATTAGTAAAAAGTCAATTTTTAAGTGCTTTTCCTAAAATTTTTTATAAATTACCACCAGTGTACAGACCAAAAAATATTCCAAGTTTTAAGTGCTTTGCCAAAATCTTTATAAATTAACACCTGTATACCGACAAGATAAAAGCAAGTAAAAAAGTTAAACATTATGAGTTATTTAGTCAAAATCTAAATGTGTGTGTGTGTATATATGTATAGTTATATATTTGTGTTTATTATTTTATTCAAGTTTTACTTGTAGAAACTAACATCATTTAGTGCCGACATGTAAAGCAATTACTATAAAATTGCTATTATGAAAACTTTTAAGATCTCTACTGTAGTATTCTGCAGCCATAAATATCTAACATTTTAAGTATGTCTGCCTTTTCAAAGTTATCTGTAGGTAAATGTTTATACTTGTAGTTCAAGAAAGTACGGTCTCTGTATTCTTCATATGTGTAGTAATTCTAGTCTTGAAGTAATACGTGCAGGAGGTATATCTTAAATCAGCATTTTAGTATCAAAAATAAATGCAAGAGGTGATTTACCACCAGTATGCCTTTATCATGTCCAAGCATTCAATTTATTAATTCTTTTATGAAACTTGATGTTTGCTAGTGCAAGAGTTTTAACCAAGCAAGATAGTAAGGATAATACAAGTAAATTCACATGAATGGCTATGACGCATTTTGAGACAGTTAAGAAATGGATGTACAGAAAGGAATGGTGAGATATTTGTTCCTGAAGAGAGGAGGAGGGAAATAAAGCAAGATAAGGCTAACAAAATATATTCTGATGTTATATTAACCATTCTTTGAAGGAGGAACCATCAAATGGTATAAGAGGTTAGCTTACTATATGAAAATGTTCATGATAAAATTGTATGCTTTTTTTTCATTGTTTGATAGATCTCTCACCCCATTTTGGGAAGAATTATTGATCTGGAATGAAGACTTCGACTATTTTCTTCAAGATGATCCAAAAACTCTAGTCATTTTTGAGGTAGGTTCAAAACTTTGGCTTGTAGTAACAGGCATTTGACTATATCCTACTTCATATTTTTTTCAAATAAACATCCACCTGCTCTTAAATTCACATGTCATTAAATTAACTGTTTTTGATGTTGTTCTTTATATTTAATATTTTTAGTTATTCAAAATTTACATGTTCAGGGAAATAATATCCAATACTTTATATTAAAACTACCGAAAGAAAATTTTAATAAGACCAAACGAAAACAAAATGTAGTTCTGATTATATCTATTTCAAAATTAACGTAGGTAAGTAGGGATATTTTTTTTAACCATTCCTGAAACATTTCACTATGCCTTTTAAGACAATAGTTTGGTTTAATTGTTTATTTCCTTTGAAAAATAATTACAAATTGAACATTAAGTATGATTTATATAGAAGAGGATAGTAGTGTTAAACTAGAGCACAATTTTATAGAGATATTATCAATTTTTTAGAGGGGAATTTTGAAATGTGTGGTTTGTTGATGTTTTCACTCCAATATAACTTATTATCTCTAAATATATGTAACTGCTTATAAACAATTAGAACTTGGAAAGATACAATTTTAAAAGAAATCTTATCAGTTGTTTAAGTAATTGCTATGCAAAAATTTTTCTACAATTCCTCATTCTGAAACTGACAGTTACTTTGATCTGAACATCGATTTTTTTTTCAATTCAATGATGTATTTTAGTATTGACATTTAAATAATCGAAATAAAATTTATCACACTGAGAAATATTTTTTCAATCAGGTTTTGATTTGAAGATGGAACTTTTCTGAGTGTTCCTTTGTAAGAGCTCTGCAATTTGACATTATTACTTTAAAAGCATTAATTGACTTTTTGAATGTGGAATCAATGACAACCTTGGCTTCAGTAACATCATTACTCTCAGCCATTTTGTTGCATTTGGTAACAACAGATGCTAGAAAACATTTGTAAAGCAGTTGTTACAAAATAATTGATATCACCTTGATATTTGTAACTTGCATTTAATTATCATCAAATAAAATATCAAAAATGTATATCAATGTATTTCATTGAACTTTGAACAAAAACAATCTATTAAAGTTTCAGATTTTGATCTGTAAAGCAGAAGCTGTTAGATGAAAGTAAAACAAATTCCACATAATTGCTTCTACGTATGCATTACAATCACATAAAGGCAAATAGAATTCATAAAAGCTGCTTATGTTTGTGGCAGATGTATAATGTAATGCAACATGTATATTTTACAGTCAAGTATTATTACAGCAAGTCATGAAAATTGAAGTTAGATTTCCTCAAGTATAGAATAGATGCAATGAAATTATTCAAAGCAGGGATAGTCAGGTATATAAAGTATTTGTACATTAAAACTTCTGAAAATTGGACACCCACAGGACTGAATGATTTGGCCAGCGTTTAGAGAGTTCAGTTTGGCAGTTTGATGGAAGCTTACATATATAACTACTTGTTGTGAACACATCACTTTTTTGGGTCGAGTACACAATTGCATGTCAAATTTCAAAATTTAAATAAATATTATTTTGACCATCTCAGTGTTTTACTCAAACATATTTTAGAACTGACATTTTGTAACATTTACTTGATATAATTCACAAAGAAAATTAAAAAATGATCCAAGAAACCATCATCCTTTGGTAATATAATTATTTAGGTTTTGTTTTTTGCATGATTTTTCATCTCTCTCGCAGAACTTATGAAGAGGAACTTAAGGTTTCCATCCTTTTATGATCTCACACCTTGTCACTAGGCTGTACCAATTGAAGTTCAGCTTTGGAACTAGTTACAGGCAAAGTTTAAATACCATTGGATATAGAGAGAAGTACTGTGGGAAAATGAAAAGAAGGAACTGATGCATTATAACTTTTAACATTTTAATGGTTCTACATGTGTGACAAAGACTTCGAGTTCAGTAATGTAATATAAGACAAGCATTTGGAAAACGATTCCAGTTCTAGGAATTTAGAGGGTCCACTTTTGGGAATATTTCTATACATTAAATGTTAAAGGAAAAAAATTACTCTAGTTTTCAGAGTATTCCAATTTACAGAATGTTTGGTGTGGGGAAGTTTTACCTTCCATTAATATATGTTTTAGTCATGCTTACATTCATATTATAATGTGTTCTAGAATTGATTATGCATGATAAGAATCTCAAACATATATGTAGTGACATTGTACATAACTATATCTAAAGTTATCACATGCTCTACATAACAATTAACACATCTTAACTTGGACATCCAAACTGAATTATTTTATAAGTTATTTTTTAATTATTTTTTAATTATTTTTAATTATTTTTTTAACTATTTTTATGTAAATCAACTATTTTAACTTTCAAAACAATTTAAGTATAGGTAATGCACTCAGAATTAAGTTATTTGCTGTTCATTTTAAAAAGTATCTGCATTGCAAGTGCCTGTAAATTAGAAATCCACAGTGTAACATGAGCGTAGATTAAATCATCATAATGAACATCTTGAATTAAAGCCATCTTTTTAAGTGTAAAAAAATTAGGCAAATTTTTCTGACAATAATATAAATGTTGATAAACTAAAAGAACAAGAGAAACAGTTAAATTCAGCATTATTACTTTTTCTTATACTAATTTGGCTACAGTAATTCACAGTAGAGTAAACTCAGTAAACAACTGAGCCTGTTCTGCACAGGCCATATTATGCAACCATGTTCCTTATTCTATGACAAGAAATGTTTATTTGGTTCAAAATAGGAAAGTCTTGATTTGATGCAAGCGACATAAGTAACAAGTACAAGATTTTACTGACTAATAGGAGACTTTATTTCTTGTTCACAGAAAAATTAAGGTGGATTGTCAATCTTGCAATAAAAATAACTAAGTGAATAAGGCTACACATATGACAATACAGTTGAAATTTTACAGGCAGTTTGAAAGAATGTGTTGAAAATAATATCCCAAGCTTTTAGACTTATTTCCCAATTACTTGTAACCAATAAATATAAAATGTTTATTATCTCTCTCTTATGACAGAGTGCTATATTTTATATTATATTTGTATAATTATATATGCTGTATGTTGTATACTAAAACCAATGTATTTTAAAATCCTCTATTGTAGAGTTTTTTCAGTTAGTTCAAAAGTTACCTTATTTTGCAGTTTGTTATTCGATAACTCCTGTTTTCTGAAGATCAAGAGATAAGAGTGTTTATCGTTACATCTATGTATGGAAATAAATTGACAAAATATTAATATTCTTAAAGCTACCATAAATTGTACCACTTTTACAATGAACATAGGCTGCCTTTGCCCATTACCGTGCAATACACAACACATTATTCTTGGATTATACAATCTAACGTCTTTCATCACATATATATAGCTTCTTCAGTATAAGGTTTTTAAAAAATCCATCTGACTCAGCATAAGTCTGTCAATATTGTAACTGTGTTGTATTTTTTTATATTAGATTCTTGATGTCATCTCTTCATCTAGATTGGGTAGCCAGTTTCGTTATCTCCAGGGGAATCAGGGTTGCTCCAAGATTGCCTGGGCTTTTCTAAAGGTAAGGATTAGAGGAATAACAGGTATAAACAGGTTTCACCTTTCATAGTGTGATTTATTTATCCAACAGTTGTTTCTGGCTGATGTGTAAAAAAAAACGTTGAGTTCTTCTAATCAACTTAACCTTATTCACGTACTTATATCATTAAGCATATTATTACTTTTTCTTGCATCTGTAAGTTACATTATTTTATACTTCACACTATCAAATCATCATTTAATGATGATAAGTTAACACTTTATTATACTCCCTAAGATCCTGTCTTGTTGACTTAAGCACCAAGTATCTCCCAATTCTCAGTTAAATTTTGATATGTAGACTATGTTTAAAAATTTTTACTATGAGTTTGTAATATTTGGATTTACTAGATTAACAGAAAACATTTTTGTTGAGATTTTTGAATATCAAATTTTATTATAATTGTCAATTTAATTTTTTTTTTGTTTAAATCAGTTTCTTGTTAGACAGCCAAATACATTTCTATGATGTATACCAAACCAGTGAAAGATCTTTAGAAGATGATACAAAAATATGTTCAACTTTGTTGGAGCTGTAGAGAATTGATGTTACCAATATTTTTGCTATATATATCCAACAATTAAGGGCTTTTGCTTATAGCCACTCTTGGATATATAAACTTTCATGATGCTAGCTCCCTGTCTTCTTGTGCAGCATATTGGGATTTCATCAACATTTTCAGGGATTTACAATTATTTTAGCTGCAGCTCATAGAATGGCTCTGAGTTTTTTCAAGTACAAACTTTTAGCTCATAACTCCATTATCTCTTGAATTATTTGAGGTCTAATTACAGTTTTGGACTCAAGAGGTCAAATCCTTTTGGTTGATGTATTTAACCATGCCCAAGGTCTCACAGATAAATTTACTCTAATTCTGCCTAAAAGAATTTCAATTTGAGGGTAGCCTAGTAGAGATCCTGATGAGCAATAAAATCAAATCAGGTATACATGTGCCCCACGCTTGGCATTATTGGTGCATAAAAATATAGCTAATAAAAAGGAAAAAAAAGCTTTATAGACAAATTTACTCTTATCCTGCCTAAAAGAATGCCAAGTGCCATGGCTATTGAGGATTCTCTCTTGTTTAATTTGTGTCTTCACTTTGTAGAGTTTTATTTCCTTATCTGTCTGTCTTTGTTCTTGCTCCTATTGAATTCTGGACTTCATGTAGTTGTTTTGTTGTTATCTTATGAAGTAAGCTGCTTAGTTAATATAATTTGCTTTATGTTATATTCTATGACCTAACATTAGCTTTTTAAAAACTTTTAATATGGTGTTGTACAAAATGTATACTAAAGTATATTTATATCCAACTTTTGTTTACATCCATTGAAATGATGTGTATGTGCATTTTCAGGATAGACAAAAACTATTTATTATTATAATAGATTTTATTATGACTGTTTTTTATGCTGCTATATTTTTAAGTATCTATAGGTATAATTGTTTATGTATAAGAATAAGTAATAGGTATCAAATATGGCTTTTTATACATGGCAATACCCATAGTCTAAGCTGAATTTTTATATTTTGTAGAACTTGGCTAATTCAGTTTGAAAATTTGGGATCAAATTTGAAATCATGTAGCTTAGTAGAACGGTAAACTATGAAATTCAGAATGTTGTATGAAAGGAGGAAATGAAAGATTAACACAAGTTGTTCAATTTTGAAAATTTATGAATATTGTTTCTTAAAAAACTCATAAAATGCTTTTCATTTATCTGCTTCCACAAATACTGTAAATAACTTGGTGATTTTGAAAATGTAGTACAAAAAATTAAAACTAAATTTTGTAGTGTGTTGCAACATTTAGCTTTTAGAAGTGTATTAGTGTAGTTAGTTGTTATATGTTAGTAGCATACATAACCATAATTTAGTTTAGCATGCCATTATGCTGCTAAATCCTGTCCCTGTGATAGTGATGTGCATTAATGTAATGCAAACGAGAAAATATAAAATGTTCAGTGTGCTATCAGTGTGTTTATCACAAAACTTGAAGTGAATTAATTCATTTTTTGTAGCTTTCACTACTATGAAGCTTAATATATTCCAAGAGATAAGTTCTTATGGCTAAATTGAACACTGATGTTTCACCTTTTTCTTATCTCACACCTGTTAAGATGAGCAGTGTAAAATTAAGATGAGTCTTGCACAACTGATTTATTTTTTGTAGCTTGTGGGAGCCAATGGATCCCATAATACAGAAAGGAAAGTTCGTCTTCAGTTATACAGACCACCATTTCGCAGTTTTCAATTACGACAGGGATCTGTAGAAGTAAGCCTTTTTATTGTCCACTTTTGTTCTCTATCCATTTTTAATAAAAATAGTGTTTCATCTAAAAAAGTTAACAAATAACATTTAACAATTGTACATCTAATCCAACTCCAACAGATTATTTAACATTGTTATAGACTTTCATGAGAAAAGAACAAAAACTTTTAGTAGTAGACTTGTGAATAAAATGTACAACATGAAAAGTTTCTCTGCCTTGTAACTTGTTTTTTTTTTGTGATACAGTAAATGTGCATAGTATAGTTTTGTTTTTGTAGTGTGGTTTTCTTGTGCTTTTCTCTTTCATTCTAATGTATTCATAGTAAGTTTTGTTGTTTGTTTCCATAAACAAGTTTAAATATTAGTTATTACATACATGTAGTATGATTAAATAACAGAAATGTGATGTTAAAATTATTTCAGCTGAATATTTAAGTTTCATACTAATTGTTTATTACTAATCTCTCTGAAACTGGTAAACTTTCAGGTCTATCAGTGGTGGTCACGCCTGTCTAGAGTTATTTATCCAGCAACCCTCTATGTTACTGTCAAGTCCCTGGTTCCACCAGAAGCCGTTGAACCTTCCCTTCGATCCTTCTTACCTATGCAACAGGTACTTGCCTAAAATAATCTTAGTAATTGTGAATCTGTTTTAAACTTAGCATATGCGTTTGAGATTAATATTTAACAGAAACTAGTAATTACAACATGTTAAATTACTTGAAATTTTGTGCATCATCCGAGTAGTTCTCAAGCATGGAAACATTTTTATTTTACTTTTCAGGAGAGTGGGCACACTACATTTGAAGATATGCAACAGAAGTTGAATAGTTCAGCTGTTACAACATACTCTAATGGAGAGTGGTATTTCACCTTACTCTGTATATACTTACAAATAAAATATAAATACACTGTAGTGTTGCACAAGTGAAAGTCTTAAAAAGTGTTATTTTATGAAACTGTGAAGATTATGTGACACTGTATCACCATACAGAAATTTCTTTACTGTAACAGTGGGTAAAAAGGAGAAAGAACTTACTTTATGATTTGGTAATGCAGATCTCATAGTGAGAATGTTAGTTGGAAGTCTGAGAAAATGTGTTATGATATCAGAGTAGCTGTGTTAGAACAGCATTAGCAGAAGTCTGGGAGAAGGTTGTTGTAAAGTAGATATGGAACATATATAAAATATTTTCACTCTATTAATGAACAATTATTAATGCCTTCTCTACATTTGAATGATAAAATTTTACATTATTTAATTGGAATTGTTTTTACATTGGTCTTATGACAATTTTAAGGCACTAAATAAGACATCAAGTAATTAGTTTGCTGAACTGCAGAGTGGAAGGTCCAAGATTGAAGAAACTTTATGCTGAATTATTATTACATTAGTTTTATGACCATTTTAAGAACTAAATATCTGGGCATGCTCTAGTGGAATTTGGCCGTACAGAGTGATGTCCAGGATTTGAGCTACTACATGGCTTTTGAAAACAAATATGCGACCATTATGACTGGAACAGTCATTCCCACTATTTGATTAAGAATAGTTATATAAGTGGCAAGTGTTGTTGACTGATTACATCACTTCTGGTCATTAGTTCTAAATTAGAGCGGCTATGTCTGGACCTTGTAGTCTTTTATCTTTTTGTTTAACTCATGTGTTGCTTAAAGTTGAAAAATATTATATACCAAGACATTTAATTTAGACTGTATGATAAAATCTTTTATTTGGATAAGTAGCAGATTTCACATTAGGGAAGATAATCAGCTGTTATATTTTGTTTGTTTAGTATTCTTGTCAATTTGCTTAAGTGTATTGTTCTGTTGAAATGGAAATGTTTTTGAAGGTATTGAGGTAAATATTGGAAAGATGTGGTGTTCTTTCATAATGATATAAAGAGAGAAAGTTTTACGATATAAAGGTAAAATTCAGTGATTGCAGTTTTTCACTGTAATATTCTAAGATCTGTATACTGCATAGAAATAAGAGTCAATGTACATATGTTACATTAAAAACTGCAAAAGGATTTGTTGTGGAAATTACTAATTACAACCAGTGAGATTACGATAAAAACATGAGTGGAAAATGACCATTATATTTAAAGAGCAGTTTGGTGTTCATTCAAAAGATGTGTAACTACATTAAGTAAAAAATTGAGAAAGCTTGTGCTGTAGTAACTAAAATACAGAAATGATATATATATAATGTTTTCAGGAATGTTTGGTGCAATATAATGAGGTACTATTTGTGATATAATTTCCCCTTTATTTGTCCTCAAATGTCTGATTTAAGAAATATTTTAGCTCTGTTGCTGTATCAGTTTCAAATCACCATGGTGTAATCCTACACTTCTTATTTCATTGTGGTTTTCAAGATGCTTTGCTATGTGATAGAATTTTTTTTTAAATGTATAATTAGATGACTGTTTTGTGTGTTTGGACAAAAGTGCTCCTTTTGTTACCAAGAAAATAGAAATATTTAAGTTGTGTCTAAAAAAGAAATTAACTTTACTCAGGTAGTATCTAGTGTGTGTATGTATGTGTGTCAGTATTCTTTACTAAATGTTTTTATGAAAGAAGGGAATCTTTTCCATAAACTTGATTTTTAATGCAGTAAACAGGATCTTTTTCAATAATGGTACTGTTCCTGTAACCAGAAATCTGAAGTAGTACACATGTAAGAATGAACCACTTTGTTTATGGCTGCTCTAATTTTGAGGAGAGTTAAGAATCAGTTAGAAAAATATATTGTTATCCACAAGGGTTAGTTTTCACTTGTATTTTGAGGAATCTTTGCAGCTTATCACAACTAAGCTATTTTCAAAATTTCTGATTTGGTTACTTTATAGTGTGATTTCTACTAAGAAGAAATCAACAGCTTCAGCCTTGTTGGAATGGATGAGGCTTCCAGGTCAAGCATGCAAAGTTCCTAGCACCCAGATACTTCGGCTGCCGTCATCTCAGAGAGGTTGTTTTGTTGTCAAGTTTTCAAACAATGGGAGGTTAGTTTTTATTTTATCATTGTATGAGAAATATTTCTATTATTGCACAGAGAATATGACAAGGCATTAACAACTGTAAAATATAACTAAAAGTTACATGTTCTTCATTTTCTTAGTGTATGACATGATCCAATTCAAGAAAGCTCAATATAGTCTTAATGTTATGTTTTATCTTACATTCTTGTTCTAGGTAGTGTGTTGCATATTCTTTGTGTTGTGTCTATATGCAGGTTTTTCAGTTTTTTAAATTTGATCCAACAAGAACTTTATTTTTTATTATTTGAATCATGACCTTATTACACTTTTAGCATTGTTTTGTGGTACACTTATGTGCCATTAGAAGGATTTTTGGTCTTGTATAAATTAAGTATGTATTCATGGCTGATTTTCAGAACAACATTGTTTGAGATTTGCACATGTATTGTAACTAGACAGATGCACCTCCTACAGCAGCATGTAAAAGTTTTTATTTGGTTAAAATTTAATTTATAATAAAGAAAAAGAAAATTTCCATTTTCAAATTATGAGTAGAGCTAAAAAATGTCTGTAATCATGAGTTGGCCTGTCAGTTTAATGTGATCAAAGCCAAAAAAGATATAAACAGGCATGAAAAAGGAATATCTTGTAAAAATCCACAATAAACAAAAAAATTGTAAGAAAACCTTTATTGTGTATTCATGTGATTTCTTCAGAGGAAAGGGTAAGACATAAGTTGAGAGTGTTAATATGTTGCAGAAGAAAATGTACATCTGGCTGCCTTTACCTGGTCAGCAGTCCAAAGTTAGGCTTAATAACTATGACATAAATTTTAATAGTGGGTTAAAAATTGTGAATGTAGTCAAATCCCTGCATTGTAAGTAACATTTGCAGAAAGAAAAAGGTTCAACTTAAATGTTATTTTGTAACTTTATTACTTTTTCTACTTATATTATTCAAGAAAATAGTATGAATGTAATAATCTTTCATCGGCCAAATAATTGCATTTTTAGGAGTATTATATTTTCTGTACTATTTGTATTTCTGTAAAAAGTAACATACTATTTTCAATGTGTTAGGAGACTAGCAGCAGGATGTCTGTCTCTAAAAGCCTGTGAAATTGTGTTGTATGAGGTAAGTAACAAAACAAGTGTTTTAGAGTTCCTGTCCTAGGTCATAAAGTTTTTAATTTACTAGAAATTTTAACTAATAAAACATTATACATTTTGTTTTGCACAGTTATTGGCTTATACTGTTGACAGCCTAAAGTTTTTATAAACAGTGGTTCCACAGTGAGAGGGATGTACACTCTTGCGTACAAATTTTGGGTCTCAAACTTTAGTCATATTTGCTATTCTTACCCCTAAATGGCCAGACTGTAAATTTGAAGGTTCCATGGTTTGCTTCCTGTTACTGCAAAACTGCTTTGCACTTTGGATCATGAGTTCAGTGTAAGAGTGACAGTTAAATCCCATTAATTAATCAAACAAGAGTATCCAAAGAGTTGGTGGTGGGTACTGTTGCCTTTCCAGTACTTTGTCAACTCAAACTTTGAGACAGCTAATACAGATAGTCTTTGTGTAACCTTTTGTGAATAACCAAAACAAACAAACATCCTCATCCTTAGATTTCTATTTTTAGTGATTTTTTTTTTATTTACAGTAATCAAAATATTTTTTTTAGAGATATGATGAATACCACATTTAATTTTTGTTTTAAATAATACATTTCTTAATAAGTTCTGGTTTTAATGCTTAGGAGGATTGTTATAAAAGGTATCAAGAGTTAAGTATGATTTTTAACATATTTATTAGGCCTAATAAGCTTTTTTGCTTCGCCAGCTTAAACATTTTATCTCACAGTGCTTTCTTAATTTGTTTGAACTTTGTACAGCATTAAATGAGTATTAACACTTTTCAAATGTTTGTTTCACTTATTTACTCAAGGGACTTTCATATTTTCACATGATATTAATTTGACTACATATTTATTCAATATTTTAAAGATGCCACATCTCTTGAATATTTTAAAGGCATATAATAAAATTTTTATCCATTCTATATGTTTTATTGGTTTTAGAGTACTTGACGTTGGCAATCCTACCTATAATATTCTGTACTTATAGCACTGAATTATATCAGCATTGTTTGCAACCTTGAACTACAAGTAATTTTATAACCTCAAATTAATGTTTTATTTTTACAGGTTTGAACATATCACCTTAGTTCTATTGATCATAAATATAAACAAGCAACTAGTGTTCTCAAGATTAGTAAGTGAAAACATATCAAGTTTACACGTCTACATTTTGAACAAGTACAATATTTTGTGTTATACAGTCAACCACTTTTAGTACAGTTGATCACTTTTTGTACCAAGTGTACATGTCCTCATTTTGAATAAATACATCATTTCATATGATAGCCACTCAACCACTTTTCATACCAAGTGTACTTGTCCACACTTTGAACATGTGCAGTATTTCATATGGTATACATTCAACCAATTTATTTTTAGATTCCTTCAGGGAACCAGGAAACAAAATTTTCTGGTCACTCGGGGAATATTTATGACTTGGACTGGTCTTCAGATGATTGTTATCTTCTTTCTGCTTCTGCTGATGGAACTGTTAGGTTGGTTTGCATACATTTCTACTGTTGATTGTTTTCTGTCATTTCTTCTTTGAGCTTTTTTCATTATGCATGCTCTAACCATTTATTATTTTTATGTCCATAATAGTTTTTTTTATTCTTGTACAACAATGATAATAAAATATTTGTTTCTCTATACTTTAGGTAAAGTTTATTGTATTTTACTTGCATACTAAATTACTTGTATGACTGTATGACACTTCGTTTTCAAAAATACACAAAGAAATTAATCATACCATTTATGACCTGTTTTGTATACCAATAAATGATAAGCCCGGCATGGCCAGGTGGTTAAGGCGCTCGACTCGCAATCTGCGGGTTGTGGGTTCGATTCTTTGTCACACCAAACATGCTCGCCCTTTCAGCTGTGGGGGCGTTATAATGTGACGGTCAATCCCACTATTCGTTGGTAAAAGGGTAGCCCAAGAGTTGGCGGTGGGTGGCGATGACTAGCTGCCTTCCCTCTAGTCTTACACTGCTAAATTAGGGATGGCTAGCACAGATAGCCCTCATGTAGCTTTGCGCAAAATTAAAAAAAATCAAAAATCAAATCAATAAATGATTCACATTGATTTCTCAACAATACAACAGAAATTTGATTGGTGATGGTACATGGAACTGAAAAAAGTTTTCAGAAAAAGTAGAAAAAAATTATTGTTTTCACTTTGAATGAGTCAGAAGTATGGCAGTTATTTTAGATATTAAAGTTGTACTTATTAACGTTTTCATTTCTAGTCAGAAAGTATAACAGTACATTTTGTTTTCAAAGTGTACTGAAACTGTAACATATTTTACTTTAGGTTTGTCAGTAAGGTACATTCTTACATATATAATAAAATGATATTTTTGTATTTAAAGTAGTTTTAATCAGGTTTTTAGTCAATTTATTCAGGATCTTATTTTACAAGCTGTTGTCATAATTTAGTTTATTTATGCCTTGCTACTCTGCGAGTGTGACTGGCTTATCCAAGGGGTGGTATTTTGCAATGGAAAAGGATATAATATAGTAAAATCGTTTTTCCTGTGAATACTATCAGGTTATCAAGAAATTAATGTCGTATTTTGGAACAATTTCATTAACTCCCTCAAAAAACGTACATCATGTGTAATGGTTAAATGAACTGCCTAAATGTCACATTAGTGTAGCCTATATAATGTGTAAAGTTTAGTATACTCTAATCCCTTATAGGGATGGTACACGATGAGACACACACATTCTGCATGTAATGCTGTTTGAATACAAGAAGGGAAACAATGCCTCTGTAGCCACAAAGAATATAAAAGAAGTTTATGGAAATGTTTTGAATGTTCATAAGTGTCAATGATGGTTCAGCAAATTTCGTTCAGGTGACTTAAGCCTCAAAAACTGTGATGGCAGGGGCCAATATGTTGGAATTAATATTGATACTCTGAAGATGCTTGTCGAGTCTAACCCAAGGCAACACACTCGTGAAATGGCCCTGAAATTGCATGTCTCTCATCAAACAATACATAAACAATTGAAGGAATATGGGAAAACTCCATAAAGAAGGTGTTTGGGTGCCTCACGAATTCTCTGATGATCATTGTTTCCAACGTGTGAATGTTGCTTTATCTCTTCTGGCACATAATGTGCGTGAACCATATTTAGACAGAATTGTCAGCGGTGATGAGAAATGGATTCTCTATGAATATTAAACACCAAAAACAATGGCTCAATCCTAGACAAAAACCACTTCTGAACCTAAAACCTGGATTCTATCTGTCAAAAGTGATGCTTTGTACTTGATGGGACATCAAAGGAGTAATTCATTTCGAATTTCCTCAATCCACAGTGAGCTGTAAATGCAGAGATCTATAGTCAGCAACTACAACATTTAAATCAAGCCCTTCATCAGAAACGCCCTTCACTCGTGAATTGGAGAGGGGTTCTTCTTCTCCATGACGATGCATGTACATGTGCAACACAAGATTATGGAGTTGGGTTGGGAAGTTCTCCCCCACCCACCATATTCTTCAGATATGGCACCATCAGATTACCATATTTTCATTCGCTGCAACATCATTTTCATGGAAAAACATATGCAAATGTGGAAGGTGTTAAAGAGGACATCGACATGTTTTTTGCTTCAAAGCCAAGTGATTTGTTTAATCAGGGTATTAAGAACCTGATTATAAGATGGAAATGCATCACTGATAAGAATGGAGACTATTTCATTAAATAAATGTTTTGTTTTGATATACGAGTTGTTCAGGTTTTCTCATCTAAAAAAGCGACAAATTGTTATGATGACATAATAGTAACAAATAATGGAAAATTGAACTGATAAAGATTATGGATTCAGCTTTCTGCAGTATCAAATAAAATTTATGTTTATAGTCTTCTTTGATTTAATGTTAAGAAGTTATTATTGTAGTATTTACTTTTTTATTGTGATATACTGTTTGTATTTTTCTTTGTAGAGTTGCATCTCCCAAAGTATTTTTAGAAACTCCATGTATAAATTTTGTAGAGTGCTGCTTTTTGGCCCATGACACTGAATATGCCAAGTGTTACCTCATAGACTACTGAGATGGTCACAAGGTTCTAGTACCTAACTCAAGGAGTCATATGAGGACTATCATATGTTTGTAAACAACTTCAAACAAATGTCATATCACAGATTCCAATAGGCCTTGGTAGTTTAGAAGAGACTAAGCATGCTGCATAAACTCTTTTATTTTATCTGCTAGCGTCTTCTACAAACACTATTTTAAATAGAGAATTTTAGAAAATCATAATCCATAATTATGGTTTTATACATTTTCTTCTATACCTACTTGCTATATCTCTGTAAGGTGGATTGGTGAAACAAACATTACAGTATGCTAATTTTTGAGTTTTGAATCTTGTTTTTAGAAATCTTGATAGAAGAATGTAGAGCGTATGAAGTGTTAAATTATTATTTTTGTAATAAACAGTTGGAATGTTGTGTTTGTTACATATTTCAGTGATAATTTTGTGTATTTTAAGTATAACAAAGTCAATGAACAAACTATAGAGTAAAAATCCCTACATGACAATTTTATGCGCTACTTTTTAATTAACCTTTAATTTTATTGTAACTTGCAAAATATGGATGATACTGCATTAGTGCCAAAAACCTGAATAAAAATATTTTAACTTGTTAGAATTATTTGTTTTTTAAGTACCTTAATATGTTGTAAAAAGAAAATGTTTGTGTCATGGGTGTGAAAGAGTGGGTCAGGATCATTTGCATGTGCCTTTGCCAAAATTTAATATTTAACATATTTCCTTAAGGTATAATTTAAGCCAATACGTTAGATGAATATCACTCACTTCTCGTATCTCGGCAAAATTGGGAATAATATTTATTATACCGTATGAGTTCAAGTACAATTTGTTTCATTTGATGTTGTATTTCTTTGTTTATAACTATTTGTTTTTGATAAAGTATGTTTATTTATTATGGTTGTTTTTTGACATATGTATGTTTACTATACTTTCTTTTGGTTAAAATTTATTTGGCAACAGTTTTTCTTGCCTTCCCTCCATCTTTTACATTTTGTTTAGCCAAAACATGAAATATATATCTTACAGAATTTGGAACACAGAAACACTGTCGTCATTTCCTCTTGCTATCTTGCCACATCCATCCTATGTTTACTCTGCTAGATTTCACCCTCACATTTCAAATATTGTGGTCTCAGCTGGCTTTGACCATGTGTTATGGGTGTGGAAGATGCTATCTCCTGGTGAGGAACAACCTGAATTAGTTCAAGAATTAGAAGGCCATCACAGCATGGTGAATTCACTCTGTTGGGACTCTTCCCAGAATAAACTATATTCTGCTGATGGTGATGGAATGATCATAGCTTGGAAAGCTGGACCTTGTACAGAGAATGGTTGGATGATTTTTTTTTCTGTAAAGACTTTATCTAATGTAAGCTAGAAATATTTGTTAGATTTTATATTAAAAACTGTAATACCTTTGCATAAAGGCAGGAATGTAATACTGTTGATGAGGATATTCCTAATTTGGTTTGAAAAATGATACAATATACTTTGTAATTCACCATATTACTGGTTTTTGTGAGTAACTCAATGTGTAAAAGTAGCAGTGCTTATGCTGTACATCACTGATGTGACAAATTACTTTTGAATTTTGTTTGATTTTTTTTAATTTGTGAAATAAAATGACATTTTATTATTACAATTTTTTATTTTTTGTGAAAAATCAAGACACATGATAGTGTGTTGTGCAGCCAGAACAACCTGCAGGACACTGTGATATTAAGAGGAGTGATAGTTTAGAAATTTTCACTTTCTGGAGCTTGGAGTGTGGTAATCCAAAGTATCATATATTTTTAGTGGATGCTCTATGCTAGACCCTTACTTCATATACCAAATGTCAGGGCAATCCATTAAGAAATACATGAGGTATAAAATCTCCAATTTTGATTTCTTCCTTTTTTTTTATATGGAAACTTTATTTGATAGAAAAACATATTTAACTTTCATGGATTGTTTCAAATTTGGTACATTGATAGATCTTTATAACCTACAGCTAGGTGTCAAAATTGGTGTAATTATAAGCCATGAATGCAAAGTTATTCAACTGCTCAATTTTGACCAAAATCATTGCATACACCTACACAAAGTCACTTGAGCTATTGGTCTGAAATTTTTACTACAACTTCACCTAAGAGAAAAGGTGGACTGTTTTTAGTTTTTAAATTAAAGACTGTTGATTTAGAGCAGCAAAACTATAGTGTGAAAACATGTGAGGATACATAAGTATTGGTTAGGCTAAGTAAACTAGACTAGCAATTTCTTGCTCAGGTTTTCAAACAAATCGTATGGGTGGATGGTTATTATTCATTGCCAAATTTTAAGCACATATTTGTTAAACTTTATGAAATTCTCCTAATTAAAGAGCGTTTAGTATCACGTGATATTAGCTTAAGCAATTAGGATAAATAATGATGCTTGAAACACCTGTACTGAGTGCATGCAGGTGATGACAAGAAACTGTTAATTTAGTTTGCATGGTGTTACTATAAAGAAAGTTATTAACACTGTTTTAGAGAGGAAAATCTACCACTATATATGTTAAAGAATCTGGTTGGTTCTATAAAGTATAAGTCTGTTCCGATTAATAGGGATGTGATTCTAAGGCTGGTGTTGATTACTATCGAGTGTCGCTTTCTTACTTGGCTCATGTAGATACACATGAACCAATGTTTCCAATTATGACTCATTTTATAAGCTGTACTATTTCCTATAGATCATTTTCCAAATGGTTCTGCTATGATTAGTGTCTGGTGAAAAGCTTCAGCAGACATTTCTTTTGCAACATCTCAACCAACAATTGGTCCAGTCATCTACGCTATTTTCAAGTTTTGAACAGCTCAACTTTCAAGATTTACATATCTACATGAGCCGATGTTTCCATTTATGAACATTATATTTTAAGATCTGTGCAAGAACTCAGCTAACAGATGTTTCCATATATCAAAGCTATCTTCAAGTTTTGTACAATGAAAAACATTTTCAAATATTAAAAGTTATATTATGTATAGAGAGCTCCATGGTTACATGGTAGTTGCAAGGTTGGTGAAAATGAGCAAGCCCTTATAGAAATAATTAAATCTAAATATTGCTGAGCAATGTAAACTTTATTCTCAAAGTGTTTTTGCGGATTTGAATTGTAAAAATCATGGATAGAGCTATTTTTAAATGGGAAAAAAAAACCCTAAAAAATGTTGTATACTTTTTTGTCAAAGTTTAAGCTAGAAATCTAACGTGAACAAAGTCAAATACTTGTTTTTCACGATGTGAACTAGAAACCTAACACATACAAGTTAGATATTTATTATAGTATAAAGTCAGAACTTAATAAACAGTTACAATTTAGATATCTGTTTCTATTTAAGTTAGAACTGTAATTATTTGGTCAAGATGTAAATAGCATGTTTCTCTTAATATGTGATTTATGCTTGTAGAGGAAATGTTTAATAAAAATATTATATCTGGACTTTATGAACATTTTCCTGAGTTTAGGATGATATTGTTATTTATATATACTGATTTGTAAAATTGCTTAAAGATATGATCACATTATAACATAAAATGATAAAAACCTTATAACCCAAGCACTTTTGAAAGGTGGACCTTTCTTCTTCAGGGGTAAACTGGGAATTCTCAGTTTGCCCCTCAAGAAGAAAGGTCCACCTTTTGAAAGTGCTATGGTTATAGGGTTTTTACCATATTATATTAAGACTTCTTGAGCATATGTTTTTTGACATAACATTATAACATAAATATTTCTGTCTAAACATAATACAAGGTCTACCTTTTGAAAGTGCTCAGGCTGTAGGGTTTTTATCGTTTTATATTAAGACTTCTTGAGCATACACGTTTTTCTGACATCGCATTATAACATAAATATTTCTGTCTAAAACAGAATACAAGCAGTGGACTAAAGAAAAGGTTGTCAATCTTCCAGAATTGAAAGTGAGTATTAACTTTCTGTATAGAATTGTATATGTTCATATTCTAACAAGAATAACTACAGCTGAAAGAGTTTCATAGTTTAATTTTAACCTTTTTTGAATTTTTAACTCTCTATCAATGTATACTGCTACACTGTATTGTGTGTCATAAGATTTTAAAATACTGTAACATTTACAGTGATAAATGTTTAGTATCTGTTCATATATTTAACATACTTTATAGAAATGTATGTTTAGGTATTTTTACTAATAAATCTCATTTTAATCCACATTGATAATGCTTACAGTTTTGTTGAATGTATTACTTACAGTTAAACGTTTGTCTTTGTTAGTTGATCGTACATAGACTGGCCTCAGTCACTATTTAATGTTCATAATATATATATATATATATATATATATATA